CACAAAACGATTTCCCGGGGGTCGAGTAATGGTGTAATGGGAAATTTAGAAGAGGGTTCATGGCGTGGAACGGCATTTGATTTGTATGGACGGCTTGTTTTGTTACTCTTTTCTTGCGCGGGGCATTTTTGGACAAAATCTCTTATCCTTCCGGACTGTCATATATTCACTACAGATGCAGTAATCATTGAATCGATAATGAACATTTACACCATCTCTTTTGCAATCCAACTAACTATTTTGTTGACTGCTGATGAACATAAACGCTTACCTATGTGGCGCTGCGCAGTATGTCTGCTACGCATCAGTACTCAACCATGTTTCTAAACCTCATTTTTCTCGACAGAATTCCACGAAGGCAATCACAGCTTCTTGAGCTCTTGTCTTGGTCCAGGTCACAGTTAATATATTGCGGTACCAACAACATACAGTATTCTGCTTCACCATTTGTTTTTATCCTGCTCGGCATGATGCAGTGTCACCGCAGCAGTCTTCCTCTAAGCCAGTCCTCTATCACAAAAGCATGCCGCCCTTCCGAGCGCTTGAATGAGATAAAGCGAGGGGCGAACAAGGCTTACACGGCACGCCCTGTTGCACAGCAGTTGTTGGTCGATCAGCGCATTAGGGGGTGCTCTAAGTCGTACGTGCGTTGATGCACATTCTATGCAGTGTGTATGCAATGCGCCTTTGAGGAGTGCCAATCTCACTCATTACAAGCAAAAAAAAAAAAAAAAAAAAAAAAAAAAGGATTTCGCCTCCTTGCCGCTTTTACCTTTCGCTCCACGGATCTCCTATTTTTCGCCCGGTGATGAGCCCGGCGTGCCGTGTCCGGGGACATTAGCATGTCTCGGCTTTGCGCTTAGCGGATCTGACATGTCTCTCGTTTAGATGTTGGCTCGAAATTGGCGTAAAGGAAAGCAGCCGAGGCTTTTGAGGTTCCTGATTGGGGGCAGTTCTGACGGACTCTTTGGTCTAACTTTCTTCTTCAGGGGATGGGTGGAACTTGGCGGTTGTGGCGGCGCTCTTTGAGAGGCTTCTGGGCTGATAAGAGACATCACCATGCGAACGAGAGATTAGTGGTGAACGGTAGAGAAAAGAAAGTGTGGGGGTGGCTGTCTTAGACAGTCATGATGGAGGAGTGACAGGTTGAGTTCTGTGAGATAGAGGTGAATGAGATGCTATGCAGACTGCACAGCCTCTACTTGGCTTGGATTTGCGTGCTTCGTATCACATATTACTCTTCTTCTGGCGCAAGAGACACAATGCGCCTCAAGACCCGATACATGCACACTCAGGGGATGAGAAGGGGGGCAACGTCTTTTGTGTGATGGCGTCGGGGATAAAACGGCAGCGCCTAGTGGCGCAGAGCCGTTTGTTGGTGTTCGTATTTGAGAGCCTCAGAGGCGCTTGGTACAGAGCTGGCTTCTCTCTCTCTCACTGGTCCAGGAGTTGGCCTCCGCCCCTTGGCGCTGGAGCGACCGTAAGCAGTCTTGCTTTCTTACGAAGTCGTGTTTACTTTGGCGACGGGCTTTCACCTTAGCTCCATGTGGTGTTATTTCTAAGACGCGGTGTCATGTGATATTTGAATGACGCTTGTAAGTGTCTGCTATTGAGATGATCTCGGCAGAGCGGCACGGGTTTGAAGTCGGAGAATGGTGGTGGTCTATCGTTGATGAGGCCGTTCGGCTATCTAGTCTGGCGATGCAGTAGGCGTCCATTAAATAAGGCTTGTTTCGCGGCCTCGTGGGGAATCCATGTTGCCATGTCGACTGGTCGACAATTCCAAGTGGCAGTCTTTGTTTGTGAATGTGACGGTGTCGCTGAACCACGCTAGATCGGGTGTTCGGTGGTTACTTAACAACGGGCACCTCCTTGTTCCCCTCGGAAGCTCATTTGACAATGCAATGATAACGTGGTAGATGCGACGGACTTCCGTCCAATTTCTTATCAAGCTACACAAGGCAATATGCAGATTGCAGACTACGCCTCGGCAAGTCTCGTGCTGCCGAACTGCTGCCCAGTATGAGTGGATCCGCGAGCCGGGCAACAGACCGAAAGTGGAGCAATTGTCGCCGGGTATCCGGGTAACAGTGCAATTATTTACTCCGGAGAAAGATATGTCCAATGCCTGTCGATTAACGTAAGAGCTTCCTAACAAGTTTCCTTGACATAAGAGTGCTATCGTATTGGGAGCACGATTACAAGCGCGCACGCTTCCTGGCCCAGCACACCGCGCGCTCTCCGCAGCCCTCGGGAACCGGTTTCCGTAGTCACTAATCGGAGCAGCCGTTCGCATTTCCCACTTGGAAGCCAACACGGGTTGCACAGCCATAGGCGTCGACAATAATTTTCCCGAAGGTGATGCAGTACCATGGAACATGATATTGAGCACAGATCAAATCATCCAAGCTTGCTTCGCCATCTTTGAAACCAACCAAAAGACACTCAAGAAGGGTCCTGTTCCCCTTTTCTACGTTGACTAACTGTAACCTACTCATTGTGGGCCGCCAAGATCACTGGATATTTTATCCCAAAACGGCTAGCAAAGACTTACTACAAGTCTTGATGTTCTCCGGACCGGAGAAGAATCATGAGAAAATCTTCCACGCCAGGCTGCCTGGGGGCGGGGGCTGTTGCTTGTAACTATGATCGTCGCTATGATCTGTAAACAAATTCGCTCTAATGCTCCGAGACTCTACTCCGTACAACCTTAGGGAATCCTTCATAAGGGCTAATCTAAAGGCTGGCGGGGGACTTGACATGTCACGTAGTAGCGTAGTGCGAGATCTGCGTTGAATCTATAGAGATTGGTTGCTAGGCATTGGGGTGATGAAGAGCTTAACACGAATTAGCTCCCGTCGGATGCTCTTTGGATCCGTAGGGCTGAAAAAGCATTCTACGCGGTAGTCGTCTCCATTCGGACCGCGCGCGCGCACGAGTCAACTCACACTGCCGTGCCGGGGCATACCCATGGATGCGGGGCCCTCTCGGTCCCAGCCGTAGCATCGCGAGAAATGAGTTGGCATGCGCTGACGTGCTGCGGATTTTGTATCCGTAAAAGCCTCTGCATTTGTAAGTCGTGAATGGGTAGGTTGGTAGACCAAAGATGTGAACATATAAGCTTCATGATGTCCCGGGTTAGACGGGAAGAGCTCTAGATACCTTCACCAACAACTGACTTTCGTTGACAATACTACTACACTTTCATTACCATGTCCGGACTTCTCACCCTCGTTCTGCCTTTGCTGGCCTTGCCAGCCATCCAAGCTTGCCCTACTAAGTATCACAATGCTACCACGGCCTGCGCCCAGGTGACCGGGAATCAAACCGTCAACTCGTTCCAGCTGTATCCTGAGAATGCAGACTTCGACACCAAGCGCTGTGTGGCCTACTTCAGGTAAGATTTCCCCATATTCATACCGGGATGCCTTGAAATCGACAGACAAAGGCAAGAAGCTAAATCCTGATAGCGTCCTCTACAACGCCAGTGTCATTTCCTGGAGTCCTACCACGTCCGAAATCCAGACCATCGAGATCCCAGGCTTGAGCTTCAACCCCGAGCTGCACTCAAGCGGAGTCCGCGTCGACCCCCTCGACCGCCTCTCCATCATCATCGACGCCGGATCCGCCTTCGATACTGGTGGCCAGAACATCACGGGCGACAACATCCTCGTCAAGTACGACCTCACCAAGAAACAGGTCCTGTGGCAGCGCAACCTGACTGAGGTCACCGGCGGCGTGTACGGTGGCTTCCAAGACACGGCTCACGGCTCCGATGGCACCACATACGCCATCGGCACGTTCCCCAGCAGCATCATCCGCGTCAGCCCCGACGGCTCCGAGGCCGTTCCGTGGTACCTCAAGACGCCCGCCAACCACTCCATCCACGGACTCTCCGGACTCGTGTCCTCCCCCGACGGAAAGGCGCTTCTCGTTGCCGATAGCTCGGACGGTCAGCTCTACCGGTTCGACACCGCCAACACCACAGCCTCGACGCCGGTCCGGGTGCCTCTGACTTTGGCGGATACCATCGGCGCGGCACTCGACGGGGTTTCGATCCCCTCCCGATACAACGGCACTGTCATCCTCGTCTCTGACAATGAAAAGGGAACGGTGGTCCTGCACTCGGCTGATGCCAAGTGGGAGTCTGCTGCTGTCATTGGTACCGTACCCAACGCGTACCTGGCTTATGGTGGCTCGACAGTGACGACTGTCCAGATTGGTGGCAGCGTCTACTCCGTGACGGAGTACTTTGGTGACGCCAAGGTCGCGGGATCGCTGGCTGGCAACCGAACCGAATGGCCGTTGGTTGATATCACTGCCAACATCAACGGGTTCCTGGCTGGTCAGTAAGGGAGAAGGAAACACCGTCTTTACCGAACGATATAAAATAGATGCTGCAGCTGCAGCTGCAGCTGCAGTGATTGTGATAGACTCATAGATGTGAACGACGTTGAAAGCGGCGACTTCACCCGTCATGTAAAATCTTCCATTTTTGTACATATTAATCGACGCATTGACACCATGTTGAACTCGTAAGAATGGCAGTTGAATTTGGTCTGGGGGTTGAGTATGTTCCGAGGGTCTTTTGCATTCTGCCGACGTGGGCTGGTCTATTCCGGAAGTGAAAGTCGATTTGCATGCAATTGCTGACCCAAGAGATTGGTTTGACAGCCCATCACTAGATTATATCTCTCCACTAATGCTCTGCTGGCAATCCTGAATCCTCAGTGATATTGCTGACCACCATTTCGGGCCTGAAAGGCACCATTTATTGCGCTTACATAGACAGGGATGGGATACGCTAGCTTGACGCCCGTCAGCACTTAACGAGGATACAAAGGAGTGGTACAATCAGGGAAGGATGCCAGCAAAGATTCCTCCTTTGAACGCGAAAGCAGATAAATTGGCAACAACCGTTGCCCTAGGCATTCACACTCCTCATCGCGATCCTCGTTGCTTCTTCGACGGTCCTCGTGCTCGTGCCAAATAGCCCCAAAATGGAATCGCAAAGCAAGCGCGTCGCCGTCATCGGTGCAGGTAGGAGGAACTCCAAAGCGGTTCCCTCAAAAACAAGACAAAGACACTAACGCCATCCAGGGCCTAGCGGTCTCGTCGCCATCAAAGAATGCCTCGCAGCGGGCCTGGAAGTGCAGTGCTTCGAGCGCGCGCCCGCGCTTGGCGGGCTCTGGCTCTACAACCCGGATCCGACAGCCGAGACGAGCTCCGGCATGTACCCTGGCGTCATGCTCAACTCCTGCCGATTGACCACGGGCTACAGCGATTTCCCGATTGACCCGGCGCGGTACCCGATCTACTACTCCCACAAGCTCCATCTGCGGTACTTGAACGAGTACGCGGCGCACTTTGCACTCGAGAAGCACATCCGCTACGAGACGACAGTTGTAGGATGCGCGCCTCGCAAAGAGGGCGGATGGGAGGTGAGGGTCCGTAGGGGAAGCGCAGAGGATGGCCACGGGGAGGAAGTGTTGGCGTTCGATGCTCTGATTTGCGGTACCGGCATTATCAGCAAGCCCTTCATCCCTGAGTACAAGGGAAGAGAGGTTTTCAAGGGTGAAGTGCTACACAGCCGTTCCTATCGCAAGCCAAGCGCCTACGAGGGCAAGAAGGTCGTTCTTGTCGGTCTTGGGTCTTCGGCTATCGACGTTGCGTGTGAAGTTGGCCCGCTGGCAAAAGAGCTTACGATCGTCAACCGTCGAGGTGCTTGGATCCTGCCTCGATTCGTTTTGGGGAAACCGACAGAGGCGTGGGACAGTACGTCCTACTCTTTCCATATCTTAAACGCTTGATGGAATACTCTGCTGACCCAGTCTTACAGGCCGCAGCAGCCAGATATGGCTTCCTGCCAGCGTCCAAGAGTGGCTTTTTGAGAAGATACTCAACCATGCCCAAGGCAAGATGCCACCGGAACTTCAGCCAGATCACGGCCTCATGGCACAGAACGCCACCCTACGAAGCGACTTCATCGAGAAGCTGCAGACCGGTATCTTCTCCCTTCGTCGCACCGCGATCGCCTCCTTTACCGAGACCGGCGTCATTCTTGAGAATGGCGATTCGCTTGACGCCGACGTAGTTATTCTTGCCACTGGGTACCACATCGTCGACCAACCGTACCTCCCACCAGGCGCGCTTGCCAGTAAGGAGGCGCCAGCTCCACATGTGGACTTGTACAAGTCAATCGTATCGCCCACTTGGAAAGACCTGTACATCATGGGTCAGACCGAGCAAGCCGGACCCGTGACGCCAGTCTCCGAGGCGCAGGCCCGATACATTGCTGCCGTCATCAAGGGAAGCGTGAAGTTACCCGATGAGGAGGAGATGATGCTGGAGATCCGCACGCTGAGGGGTTGGCGGAAGAAGCACATGATCGACTCGGATAGGCACGCCTTAAATGTCGAGTTTGTCAAGTATATGGACGGTCTGCTGGCACCGCTAGGGGCGGCACCAACGTTCGGGAAGCTTTTTGGACGGATCTTCACCAGCGGGAAGCCGTTGAGGGCTTGGAGCATTCTTTCGGCTGTGTACTTTGGCATCCCGTCCCCCGCGCAGTGGAGGTTGTTTGGTGAAGGAAGCACACCTGTGTTGGCCGAGGAAACCCTGCTCAGGACTGATGTGGACGCTGGTCAATTAAGCGAAGGAGAGAAGTCGTTTCTTTGAGGATATCCAGTTATATTTCCAGTGCCTTTTTAAGACATTTAATGCCCAATATTTCCATCGATTACTCTCTGGTTGAATTCCGGTATGCTCGCAACGCAGCCAGTCATAGATTCCCACATTTCTGCCCATTTTCTTGCATCAATCGTCACCATGGATACAAATTTCACCGACTCTCACCAGAGGTCACTTCATATTGAAGTGATCAATCGAAAAGACAAGACACACATCTCTTCAATGGCTCAGATTTCTGTTAGGGCAATCGATCTGCTTCAAGTGTCTTTCGCCAGCATCCCGGCATCATCGGCATGAAGACTTTCAGCGAGAATTACATGCTCTTTAAGATCAATGCTATCAAAGCTAGGATTGACAGAAGAATAAAGAAAAGGAGCTTGATAATGAGGCGGTGTTGCTCTATCTACCTCGCGCTACCGGTGTTAAGCTTGGTGTTGCGATTTGCCCGCTCGCAAAGCGTGTCATCCTATTGGCTGTCAGACAGTCGATGCAGTGTCCAAATGTTCAGTGAAAAGAGCCACTGAGCGAGTGTTGAGAGCTGTGGAATCGCGACAAGTCTTGAAAGTTGGCAAAGTTGCTCGAGTGACATCGCCGGCTCTGGCTCTCCGGCGTTCCTCATCATTCGTCGGTTCGCAATTCCATGCCTTTTGATTGGTTCACAAAGGGGAAAGTGCGTGCAAAATGACTTTGTAGGTCGAAAGAGGAAATAGCTTCATCCAAGGTTTCGGGCCGTGTCTTTGAGTTGAGCGGCAATCTCAATGCGTCATACCGTGTGCTCCTCGAGCAATATCAATACGTAGCACGGTTACCATCAGGGATTGATAACGTCCCTTGGGGTAAAGAAACTGTTTCCTTAGGTTGTCATTAGCAGGCTGCAGTGCATTGCCATCACAAAACTTAAGGATGCTCAAGACCAGTCCATGGATCCCGAGGAATGAGTTTTCAAGTGATTAGAATTAGTTCTAGCTATCACTCAGGCTTCTGCAAAAAAATCATTCTAATTACCCTTGCAAGACGTCCTTCCACTAGAATATCTAGTGCGTCCGTCATATCTTTGAGATGAGCACAACACGGCTGTCGTAGTCACCATCAAAAGCGTACTGCACTCCCGTACTCATCAGTGTAGCACCGGAGTAGGTGCCGTTGTTATCCAACGAGTACTTGGCCGTCGGGTCCAAGCCTTGGAGCCGAAGCCGCGGCAAGGCGTGGTTGTACAGAGCGCGCACCTGGAAGTAGAACAGCACACCCTGCGACCCATCCTCTGAGATGACCATGGCGGCCGGCCAGTTGGACTCCTCTGGCAGACTGAGGCGCCACAGATCGCCTCCAATCACAATGGGGTTGACCACCTCGCCCAAGGCCAATAGCTCGGGGATCTGCACCTTGTCCTCAGCGGAGATCACGGCCGGGTTCAGCTCGAGGCCAAAAGATCCGCCCATCATGGCGACGTGAGCGCGGAACTTGATGGGAATCGTGCGGCCAGTAAGATGGTTGGGAACCGCAGAGACGTGAGCTCCCATGGCAGAGAGAGGGTATGCCAGTGAAGTTCCGAATTGGATGGAGATGCGGTCCAGGGCGTCGGTGTTGTCAGAAGTCCAGATTTGAGGGAAGTAGTGAAGGACACCGGGGTCAAAACGACCGCCTCCGGAGGCGCAACCTTCCCAAAGCACGTCTGGGAATCGAGAGGTGAGGACCTCAAAAACGTGGTAGATGCCCAGCATGTACGAGTGGCCGATGCCTGGGACGGGGGTCTCGTGGAAGCCCCTGTTGTTGTCCCACTTGACGTGGGAGATGGGGGCACTGGAGAGGATCTTGGAAACGGAGTCAATGATGAACTCCTGCACCTCTGGGAGAGCCACGTTGAGCACAAGTTGGTTCCTCCTGATCGTCCGAGGGTAGTTGCCGGCGTGAAGAGCCCAATCGGGGTGCTCATGGTAAAGAGTAGAATTGGGGTTGACCATCTCAGGCTCAAACCAGAGACCGAATTGGAGTTTATCTGTCGTGTTCGTAACCTCGAGATTGGTGACCTTGTTGACGAGAGCTGGGAGGCCATCGGGGAAGCGCTGCGCGTTGACTTCCCAGTCGCCAAGACCGGCCGTGTCGTTCAACCGGGGGTACTCTTGACCAAACCATCCGTCGTCGAGCACAAACAGCTTGACACCGAGTTGCGCCGCTTCCTGTGCCAGGTCGTAGACGGTACTCTCGTTGTAGTCAAAGTAGAGACCCTCCCAGCTGTTGAGCAATGCGGGACGAGTCTGGTCGACGAACTGGCCTCTCATGAGATGGTTGCGGTAAAGACGGTGGAACTTTCGGGAAACGCCACCGACGCCGGCATTCGAGTAGACAGCGACAACCTCGGGAGTAGTGAGGGTATCTCCCGGTGCCAGGGGCCATGAGAGTTGGTAAGGGTTAAAGCCGAGCATAGCACGAGTGAAACCCTGGGAACCTTTCTCGACGTCGACAGAGAACGAGCCCGTGTAGACAAGGGAGAACCCCCATGCTTCGCCTTGGGACTCAGTAGTGTCTGGAGAGACGAGGGCCAAGAATGGGTTGTGGAGATGGGATGAATATCCAGTCGTGCTTCCGAAGCTATGTGGTTGTCAGGTTAGTCAATGCTTCTTCAGGAATTTAGTAGCAGTCATCCGTCACTCACCCCTGGGTGCCATAGCCAACCTTCCTTCGGACTCTCATAGCTTCGCGAGCCCAGTCGCCTCTCAATTCGATCATCTCAAGGTCTTCAAAGGGTAAATCAACGCTAAGACTTGCGGCCTTTGCGATGGTGATATTGCCCTCGCCCTCATTGGTGATGTTGACGCTTCGGACAATGGCATCATACTTGGGGAAGATTGAGTATGAAAGATCGACGGCAATCGAGCTGTAGTTGTCGTAGAGCGAAACGACCAGAGTAGAGACCTCATCATCGGTTCCAAATGTTGCGGGAAGACCCGGTAGCCCAGGCTTTCCTGCCGTGACTCTGTGAGATCGATATTGGAGATCGCTGACCGTGTATCCCTCAGACTGGTGGATCTGTACTGCGGGGACCCGAAAGTCTCCACGTCCAAGGTCAGGGTACTCTCGTCTAACTCGGCCGATCATGTCAACCCAGCCATTGACTTCTGGGGCTAGCATTTCCATGCTCTCCGTCGCCGACCCTCCGAAGTGGTCAGACAAAAGGTCGCCCGTCAGCTCATCCACATGGAAGCGGTATGAGGAGCTATCGCCATTGAGGGCAAAAGACTTGCCGTCAACGACAATGCCTTCGTGATGTCAGTCTCGCACATAGGAAATCCGATTTGGCATCTTCTTACCTGCGGCTGAGCTATTTTGCGCCAATACGCGACCAGTAAAGACTGAGGCAGAGGCCGCAACGGCAAGACGTCTCAACGAGAAGCCCATCGTTCCTTACGAGGATGAGAACCAAGGACAAAGGAAGTTGAGAGGAGCTTGATGCCGGAGCAGGATGGTTATCGAGCCTTCCACAACGACTGAGAGTTTCGCGGTGAAAACACCCGATACTTATACAATCTTCCTTTCACCTTGCATATGCGGCCTCTCCGGGTTCGCCGGTCATCTCGCGATGGGCCGGCTCACCCAGCAGGCCACGAACCTTAGCTTCGTCAGAATTATCGGCCGTTCCCCAGAGTCCAGCGAGGAGAAAATCCACCGCTAGTCTAATAACTATAGGCTAACAGGGAAACGATCAACATGCGGGGTAGTTCCCCACGAGTTTTCCGCCTGTTTTCCGACGCTTAATTACACCGTCGGAGAGAGTGGGTGTAACGTCCTGCACGACAAACGACTTTTCCAACCCGGCTGTTCTAGCAGCGAACATGCTCCGATTGCAACCTAAACACTCGGAGATGAGGGGTAGCTTGTTCTTGGCATTAAAAAAAGCAAGACCGAGAAACATTCTGGGGGTTGGGGAACTTTGGGTGGGCGTAGCATCCGGGGAAAACCTTGGTTGGTTGTGGCGTGAGAGCCAATGATGACATACATCTTGCATAAGGTATTTTGATGTAAATGGCTCAACACAGGGAGGGTTTGGATGAACATTTTCCGAGAATAACACCAATGGCCTAGATTCTTGGGAGAAAATCTAAGTCTAGTCTTACTATTGGAAATGACACATGAACGAATCTGTCTAATTAACAAGACCTTTTTGAAGGCAAGTACCAGATACTCTGCAATGTGTCTCCACAGTAGACCTTTCTAACAGTGATTTGGGAGTCGCATCCGCTGGGCGAGGTCTGCAAGGAACCATGTTTTAGTTTGCCCTTCATCAATTTGTCCCTACTGGCTCAGACCAGCAACAATTCCCTCACGATAAGCTGTGATACCTGCGAGCGTCGCCGCGGGACCAACGACGGCCGATCCCAGTACCACTGCTGCGGCTTGGGCCAAGGCCTGCTTCGTGTTGATATATCCGCAGTGTCGCAGACTCCACGGCGCCGTGCCGAGGGCGAGCATCAGCGAGCAGAGCGTGAAGATCAAAATGTCCAGCTTGGACAGACCCAGGGCCATCATCGCCGCGTTTTCACCACCAAACAAGCTGTACTTTATACCGAAGAGAGCAACGTTGGCGAGATGAATGGCTGCTGAAATTGCCAGGGTCGAGTAGTAGACAAGGCCAAGAACCGGGAGATCTGCCTTGGCAAACATGTTCCGGGACTTTTCCCTCGTGCTCTGCAGCTTGGACTCTTCGTTCTCAAGTTGCTGAGATCCGGACTGTGTTCCAAACACGGAAAGACTCCTGGCCAACATGAAGCACAGGATCGGTGCGTTGCGCCAGACGTTGATTGAGTTTGCGTCCTGTCGATACAGCGCGACGGCTGCGGGTAGAAGATATCCCGCGGCCGTGATGGGCAACACTCTCTTGGCGTTTTCGAGGGGAACGTGTCTGCCGACGATGGAGTTGCATGACCAATGGGCAAAGAGGCATGAGATTGGGGCAAAGCCACCTGGGCCGAGTGTGTTGTTGAAGATGGTGAAAATAACGATGCTGAAAGTGATTTTCTCCGAGTTAGTCTGCTCTTGAGAATAGATTTTTGGGCTATTGGCTTTGATGACTAGGGATTGACTTACAAGGTCACAGATGTCAGCTGGTTACCCACGCGGTTCAAGTCGGCCAATGCGAGAGCGATGAGAGAGGCGGTGTTCGTCATGAACTCGATAGCCGGCAACATCGACGCATGTCCACGGGTGGAAGAGCACAAGGTATCCACCAGGGTCTCGAGGTTCCTTGGCAGACGCAGCACCCCTGCCGCTATAGCACAAAGAATGCAGACAAATGCGACAGAAAGCAGCTTGTTCAAACTGCTCAAGCTCTTGAGAGGCTTCGCTGGCAACTCATCCTCGAACAACACTGCTCGAGGACGATGAGGTACATCGAGTCTCTCCAGCTTAGTTGCAGGCGCACAGAATTCGACGCCTCTGTAGACAACTCCGAAAGAACCCAAATAAGGCATGAAGTAGCGCGCAATCAGCTTGCCCATGGTGGTTCGCAGGGTGAAAGCGTCCTGGAGCCAGTATCCCTGTTTGACGATGTGTTGAGCACGTTCCTGATCATGATCAGCTCCTAATTCAGTCTTGTGGATTCTTCGTACAAGATGCAACTAGTAGAGGTTATCGTCACTTACAAAGCGTTTGGCATGCACCTCAGAAAAGACACTCTCCAGCTGCTTCTGATTGAGACCATCCGGGGTTTGGTCGAGGTTACGCAACAAGGCGTTGACCAGATGCGCAGCTGACTCGATTGCTCCATTGCCTCCCTGGCCCGTGACGGGATCAACCTACCCAAGGACGTATCATTAGCGAATGTGCTATTGATGCACTTCTCTCTAGTATGGCTATTTACCTTGTGTGCAGAATCTCCAATGGTGATGGCCCTCTTGTAGTGCCACTTTTCGAAGACATAGGTTTGGAGTGGTGCCAGCGTCGTAGCGATACGTCTCTCATAAAGGTCACCCAGTGTCATGTTTTCCAGGATGCGATCTTTCCAGTGTTGCTTGATGATACTCTCTTCATCGGCCTTTGTGTACCTGTGGGAGGAGATTAGTCCCGGGTTTCTGGATGTGCGAGTTATGGCATACCTCGGAATATCTCTACCATAGAGAGTCTTTAACTCCATGAACAAGAACCAGTAGACACGGTTTCCCGGCGCAGCCATTACGAAATAACTGTGGCCAGGGGACATCGTGTTGTGTTGACTGGCTCCGGGGTAGGTGTCCGGCCTGTGAGAGATCCCAAAGACGCACAGAGTGGAGGCAGGAACCTTGGATTCCTCGTCCAAGGGGAAATATCCGGTTGGCGCATATCGCCACATCTCCTTCCTGACCGTGCTGTGGATTCCATCAGCTCCGACGACAATATCTCCGCTGAAAACTTTTTTGTCTTTGGTAGTAACATGAGCGCCAGAATCAGTAAACTCCACAGACACAACTCTTTGCGAGGTTAACACTCTTTCTTTGTGCTTCAAGTTCTCGTACAGAACTTGAATGAGCATTTGCCGGTCTATGAAAATCATGGGATATCCGAGCCTGTCTCTTAGTCAGTCGTTATTCGTACAACTCGATAAGGCACTTGCATTTTCTCCCACATGTCCATCAGATCATGTTGATAGCAGAAGATTTCACCATTCTCCCCTCTAAGATAGGCGTGTTGGTATACTTGGTCCTCAGCTCTGGCCCGGTACGCTTCGTAACAGCCAAGTTGGTCGAGGATCCGCAATCCGTTGGGCAACAAGCCAATGCTGGCCCCGACCTGGGGAGCAATCTCGGGGTAGGCTTCAAGAACAACATAGTCAATGTTAAACTTCTCGAGCATGTTAGCGAGCGCCAAGCCGGCGACGCTACCGCCGACGATGACAATCTTGAAGGTCATGGTGAAACGCGTAAGGCTGAGGCTGGAAGAAACTAGGAGATCAAATTTCTTGCATAAGAAGGTGACGAATTCTTCATGTAGTCTACAGCTTGACCAAGAGGTTGTGAGTTGAATCTTATGGCCGTAAACGGACACTTCGCGACCCTACGGTCCGGACGGGGAATTGTTCATCTCCGTCTGCCGGCCCCACTCTGCCGCCTCGGGATTATCACGACCTTGTCGAATCCCACTACAGCCGGGGAATGATTGGTGTTGACCGCGTCGTATAGATCTCCCACCGGCCGTGCTACTCTGTAGATCCATCTTACTAGTCATGCCTAGAGCTCCACAGGACCCAATATCACTGAAACCTGTAGCCGTAGCTAGGGCACGAATGCATGGCAACTCCCCACCGGGCCAACCAATTGCACTCAACGCCGATCTTTGCTATGAGGACCGTTTGCCAAGGTATTATTCCCAGAGGTGACGATGCCCCATCGTTAGAACCCAGGTAGTCCAGCGAGGCTCTGGTCGATGCACCATCTAAATTGGCGACCAAGATGTTGAATACAGTTCTAGCCATACTCAATCTCGCATGTAATATGGTGGCAGTGACTGATGTGGTGGTGTATTCCGGCTTCAAAGGCGCTAAAGACCAACCTTAACAAGATCTGGCTTTCAAGGGAAATCCTCCGAAACGGTACAATCATTGATATCATGAGGTATTCGAGACTGGAGGGTTGAGCCTAGCACGCCATTTCACGTTCGGGAAACAAGGGCCTGGCAGGATCAAAAAGGTGTCTGTCGGAACGACCCGGCTTAGGTAGTTAGACCCAATGGCAACACAAAATGTGCAAGTGCTACCAATCCTAGTAAACATCCCATGTATCGACATGCTCCGAGATCGGCTAAGCACGTTGAGTAACTGCGAGGAAGGACGAAATCGAAGTAATCTTCAAGTCTTTGAACTACTGAGTGGTGAAGAACATCTTCAACGCCTCCTCTAAAAGGACTTCCCTGGGAGCTTTAATTAGTGCAATGTATTTATTAGCATGTCATTGCCGGTATTTCATTTGCAAAGGCTGGGGGAAATTAAATGTTTTTGATGTCTAAGACCTTAGCCTAGAGAAAGAGGGTTTTGAAAGTGTGTCTCATGCAATCTGTGGAAGCAGCGATTTGCCGCTTTCTTGTTGAGTTTTTGAATTCCATTAACTTGTATACTCAGATTGCAAATAAAACGGGATCACTACAAGAATTATAGAACCTTGTGCGTAAAGACGGTTTCGATATTCAATGTTTACACGCTCACATTCCATCCCTAGACACCGCCGTGATTTGTAATAGTTCTAGTTGACTGCATCTCCCATTGCATGGCTCGTAGCTCTGTGTACATCCCGACCGCCCTTATTCGGCTGATAACTATTAACAACCACCAAGCCGCCTTCACCCTCGCTCTAGAGAGGCGAAGCATTCCAACTCAGCATAGTTTTAATGTCCCAAAACAAAAGACACCAGACCATCCTCGCTCCCATTCTCCCCAATCTTCAACCTCCCCTGCTCCCACCACGACCACACTCCTGCCTCTTCCCAAATCCCTCCGACTCCATCTCATAATCCGGCGGAAACCGCGCGTTCTGGCGCTCAATCATATCGGCGCTATCGTACAAGTCCACCTGGCTTTCGTCGACAGTGCTTCCAACGGGATGCTCCACCTCGCTATTGAACATGTAGAAAGTGTTGGTGGGCGCTTTACTGTCGCACTTGGTGTCGGCGACTACTTTATTGTTGGCATCGGCGCAAAAGACTTTTCCTGCTGAGGCGCCGCGGGCTCCTAGGAAGGCGAGGGCTGCTGCTTGGAGGCCTGGTAGGGCGATGTGTTGGCTCTTCATAGTTCTGCAATTGTGTCTATACTGTTTGTTTGAAGGATCGGTTATGATGGCGTGGCTGGGTGATAGTTGGGAAAAAAGGGTAAGATGAGTGATTTGAGAGATGGAAAATTTGTTACTGAATGAGTAACTAAGACCAAAGGCTTTGAGAAAGCAAGGAGATGCTGAAGATGCAGGGCAAACAAAAAGGAACCTGCAAACAGATATCTACCTACTTATAACCATCATGTGTTCTAACATGGAGTGATCTTCATCATTTCGAATGACCTCAATCAACTTTGCTTTGAATATAGCATCAACTGTCCAAGCTGACTCGCCATAACTCTAAAAAAGTTGAATATAATCCGCCGGAAATTGTCCTCAAACGGTGTTTCTCGGGCTGTCAGCATCATTCGGAGCGTCCGGACTGTGCCAAGACCGCCGGCGAGTTCATACGGGCGCATATCAAATACCAAAAACCAACATGCGGATAACTGCCATCCCTTTATCCCACTTCTTGTAAGCCGCGGGGGCTTAATCATGTCGGGCAGAAGGACACAGATCAAAAGTCAGAATTTATGTGCCAGATTTAGACTCTAGTGTAAATTGTAGTTTCCAGGCACCCGAACTCAGACACATATCGGTGGTGTCAGTGTTCGTCTCATGACTCCGAGAACCAAGAGTTCGACAAGGGATGCCGGAGGGCCAGCGGTTTTTACTAAGTTTATGCCCAAATGCGGTAAACCGTGTTAGCTACCGACCTTTCTCACGTCATTATGTAACGACTCACGACGGAGAAAGATCATCATCCCTCTTAATTGTGCCAAGACAACTCTAAACAAGTGCTTCTATTTCTAATAGTCGGAACAGCCATAATGCTCATTTCCATCAAGTTAAGTGGAACTTTGAAAGTCTACAGCTCTGTATATCCATTACTGATCAATACTCATACTAATCAAATGGGGTCAGTTCATACACGTATAAAGGCCTTCAAGAGACTGAATCAGTCAGGAACGAAGGGTTTGAGTAAACTACATATTGAGACTCATAGCACTCAGTTTCGCCAGTCATTGCCCACCCCCAGCTGCATCCAGTTTACCGCGGAATAGTCCTTCTTTTCTTTTCCTTCCAAGTTCACTCTCCTTCACGTCAAGAAATCATTCCTTAGTATTCACTCAAGAATTGACCACCATCACTACTGAACAAAACCGGCCACTTTTCCCTCACAGTGAGTCGCCAACCCCAATTCCCAAACCGTCTTCCATCCATCCATCCATCCATCCACTAACACACCACCCTCCCCAGATGCGTTCCCCCTCAATCCTCACAACCTCCCTCCTAGCAGCCGTCCTCGCCCAAGCCCAAAACTGCATCGAAAACGGCCCCACCGGCGACGCCATCACGGGGTTCCGGTTCTCCGGCACCTGCGAATCCTGGCAGTGGTTTTCGCGCGACAAGGGAACGCAGGTAAACCTCCAGCCCGACTGCTTCCTACGGCAGACGTTCCCCAACGCCACGCCGCTGGGCCACGTATGTATCCAGCTCGATAGCGGGGGCCACAAGTGTTTCCGGGCGCCGGGGGCGGGGGCGCCGCAGTGTAGGGTGCCGGATGACTTTTGCTCGGGGATTCAGAATATGTGGGGGTGGTAGAAGATGATGACACTGGAAGTAGTAAATGGGGTAGCCGTGGTGAGGGTTGAGTAGTTGGTGAATAGCGTTGTTGTGTGTGAGGCGAGGTGGAAGAAACTCGGAATTATCAAACCTACAGGCGGGCTTGAAGCCGCGGATTGGCTTGAGACTAGGTAGGAAAAGTATCTAGTTGACTTTGGCAGCTGGGGCCAAGGTCGAGTGCCCTTACACAGCCCTGGAGAGGACCTTGAGCATCTTGTTATGGCCACAGTATGTACATATGTTTGTACGTATGGATCTCAAGACATTCAAGATGCACGAGGACCGTATGCTCTTAGAAGTTTCACGTATTCATACAGCGCAACCGGAAACAAGCACAAGAAACCTTCTGTAATACTCATATTAATGATGTGAATTTTGATGCTGAGGTAGTACTCTATCTAAGTTTACCAAACCATGCACCACTTCTTTTGGTGCTTGTAAACCCCCAATGCAAACGCCGATTTTTGGTGCGCAAAATGCCATACAACGCCCCAGCCATGACTGAATCTCATAACCCGAACCTCGGTCGTTTGAGACCAAGGCTAATGCCGTTCTTTACTCGTGTCTCTGATCTCTTTTCTCTCTCCTCTTCGTCTAAGCAGAGCTGTCTACTGCTCCTCCTGGACGACAACACCCCACTCGTGCTGCTCGCCACCGTACATGATGTCCTTCATCCACTTCTTGATCTGGAGGGTGTATTCGCCGCCGACGCCTTCGCCGCCCATGCCCATGTTGACATCCTTACCACGGTGGTGGATCAGGGAGATGGGGCAGATGAAGAACTGAGATGTAGTTAGTTGACCATTTGGACGAGAGAGAGAGCACTGATCAAAACTTACAGCAGTACCAGCGGCAAAGGACTCGACGATGCGACCCTCCTCGTGGGCCTGAATGACCTCGTCAATGGTGTATCTGCGCTCAACAATGTCGACGCTGTCGCTAAGGCGCTCGCGGGCGAGCTGGAGAACGCTGCGTCTAGTGACACCGTCCAGGATCAATCTGTCGTCCAGGGGCGCAGTAATAATCTCCGTCCTGCCGGTCTCCTTGTTCTTCCACACGACGAAGAAGTTGCTGGCTCCGGCCTCGGTGCAGTATTGCTCTTGTCCGTACAGCCAGAGGATCTGACCGAATCCACGGCTACGAGCCTCAACGGTAGCCAGCAGTGACGGGCCGTAGTTGGCACCGACCTTGGCGTAGCCGAATCCACCAACCCAGGCGCGAACCATATCCTCGGGACTCGTGTGGAGCTTCATGCCGCCGACGGGAGAGTCCATGACGGGCATGTAGGTGCAGATGATGTAGAGCATGGCCTCGGAGGGTGCCTGGACGCCGAGCTGGGGCTGAGTTCCGATCATGGTGGGGCGCAGGTAGAGGAAGGAGCCGGGACGCTCGCGGGGCAGCCACTTGGGGCCGTCGACGGCCATGAGGGCGATGATGAGCTTCTCGAGTTCGGCGGGAGGGAAGGAGGGCAGGGCGATGCGGGTGGAGGACATGAGCATGCGCTCGCAGTTGCGGTCGGGGCGGAACAGGCGAAGCTTGCCGTCGAAGCCGCGGAAGACCTTGAGGCCTTCGAAGCACTCGGTGGCGTAGTGCAGGACGGAGGCAGTCGGCATGAGCGAGATGGGTCCGTAGGGCTTCAACTCCGGGGTGGACCAGCCAGTGCCGACCTTCCAGGTGGCAGCAACCATATGGTCGGTGGCGATGGTTTCGGAGCCGGCATTGGCGGTGGCAGGGTCGGGTACAGCACGGGGGTTCTGGGTGCGGCTGTAAGTGAGCTTAGAGGCGTCGAGCTCCTGGTAGGCGGTCTTGGTGCCGTTGGAAGCCTTGCCATTGGGAATAGCCTCAAGCTTGTGCTCAATGGCGGAGGAAGTCAGGTCGATGTCCTGGTTGCCATGGTGCAGGCCGGGGGAGATGGTTCCGGGAGCCATTGTGGTTGTTGATGCGAATCTGTTGTTCGTGAAAGTTGATGTGGTGGGTATATGAAGGATGTCTCGGAGTTGGAGGGGTTGAGGGGTCGATTTGCCGTTACTTAAACGAGGAAGTAGGTAGCTCAGGCTAGAGGATACACACACGTAGTATGTGTATTATGCAAGAGGAAATACACAAGGAGGAGGAGGATATTCAGCTTATGATGGAGAAGGAAGAGAACAAAGCCCCCAGGTCAAGTTGCAGGAGTGACGGAAGAGCTTAAGTAGGACAGGTTTGTCACAGTTTGGCTTGGCTCAAGGTTCTAGTGACAGATGGAGCAGGTGACTCAAAGACCAATGCAGAGGGGCAGCGGGTCCGGTCTGGGAAAGGGCGTTTTCAGATAACAGGGACTATCATGGAGAATTTGACCTGTGCAGTGCATGGAGCATGGATGTGGATGGGGTGGGAAGGGTAAGGGGAGGAAGACTCTTCGTCTGTCCGGTACCTCGCAGAGTGTGTGTAAGGTAGCACAAATACACACAGAGGAAAAAAAAAAAAAAAAAAAAAAAAAAAAAAAAAAAAAAAAAGAGGAACAAGCAAACTCGTGCGTCTGAAGTGGTTGCTGGGTACGGATACTCCGTATGGTTGGTTGGGGGTGGTTGCCAGACGGTAAACCAGATGCGTGTAAGAGAAGAGACCAGCAGACGCCAACGGTTCAGAAATTGATCCATGCCCTAGTCAACCTAAGTCATGGATGGATGTCGATGGTGGAGCATGGAGCGTGGACCGTGGAGGATGGGTGACTGGAACTTTCAAGCCAAGGCGGCCGATATGCTGCATGGCTTTTTGTCGTTGGTATGCCGTCGCTTGCCCGGGGGATCCACATGCGGAAAGGTCGCCAGATGGAGGCAACGCCGTAAGCCCCTTGAAGTTTCCCTTCCGCCATTGTCTTCTTATTCTGTACCGTCGACCGTACAGGATAGCAACTCTTGAGAGCGTTGTGCCAATGTCCAACGTTGAGGGCTCATCGTGGAATGCCCATGCCGAGCCCGAGTACTGTTTTTCCAAGTGGAGCCGGACCGGGACCCACCAGCGCGTGAGCAATTGTGAAGCGTCGGTGGCAGCGGTTTGAACTTTGGGGTTGTCAGGATGGAACTGTTTCTCTCACATCTCATCTCATCTCTGGTCTTCCAACTGGCGCCAGTGCGTCGGCGATGATCGAATCGAAGCCCGTCCTTTTGATCAAGAAAGGATTGTCTTGCTGCTCGAGTCCCCACACAGACATGCCGTTCTTCAGAGATAAGCCAGTTGGCAGACTACCAAACCCAAGGCTGAGGATGGCAAAAAGAAAGAAAAAAGAGAAGTGAAAGAAAATTCGGATTCCACAGTTATCCGCTAGAGCCGGGACCATCCCACCTCGAAATGGCCACACGTACTCGGGAGCGTCTGAAGAAGACCGGCAAGTTGCGACTTGCAAGGGACATGTCGAAAAAAATCTGTGACGAAACAAGAGGTCAAGTCGCGGGCGCCCATTCGTCGGGGGTCGATTTTTTAGTCAATGGCGCGTCAGGTACATGCCGTCGTACACCGCAACGCAATGCAGTAGCAGCAACAGCAGCGCCGGTCCAAACGTGAGGCAGGGAACTGCCTGACGGACGGGAATGCTGTACGAGAAGGCGATGGATGCACCTCAGTTTGTCCCACCACAAGCCGTCGGCCGGGCACGGCTCCAGTCGGTCGACGTCCTTGTGCCCCATTGCGGCTTTGGTGCGCGCGGTCCGAAGCCGAACTTCAACGTAAGGTATTAGTGTGGTAGTGTATGTACCGCGGGTGCGTGGCTCCAGCATCGGACTTGCATTTCAGCTAGTGTACGGAGTAGATGTTGTTTTGATATCTTATTCGACCTCATTCGAACGCAACAGTCTATGACTCCGAATACATTAGCTACCCGATAAGCTCATTCCGGGTGCAGCGCGCATGTTGTCATGCTCAGGGGATGAGCATGGGCAAGGTCCGACATCGCAATGATCAAGCGCGCCCTACTTGTCCAATTCGCCCTTTTTGCCCTTTGGTCGACAACTATTGACATGGTCAGACAAGGTTTTGATGCGGCCGATCGAATCAATTGAGGTCATCTCCGATGATAATGGCGTTGTCTTTTTCGGGAAGATAATAAGTCGTAACTCCGGAAGTGCGCACATATGGCCTCGCGAACTCGCAAGTCGCGAACAAGACGGAAAGAAGAGTGCGGAATTCATCGTCAAGTTCGTCGCCAAGGCTTCAAGGTTGTTGTTGTGATGCGTGCAGCTGAAAAATACTTGCCCGCATTGAGCATTGAGGTGACTTGATGCTGGGACAAACTGCGAGTGCGACAACCCAGACGGGTTTGCCCCTCCACACATACGGTACCCAGATACCTACCTAGGGTAAGGTACCTGGGGCTGGGAGGGTAGGTGCAAAGGGCGGAATTGGGGCAATGAGAGCAAGTGTTATCGCTATCTTCCTTCCTTGTCCCTTCCATTCTCGGTTTCCCATGTTACCCCTCCCGCGGATAGCCGAGTGTAGGCGATGACGTGGGGAAACAAGTCCGAGCAACCACAATGGAAGGCACCGCTGACCACTCACCACCACCTGCCTCCTTTTTCTTGTCCCAATGGTCAGGTAGGTGGCAACCCCCCGTGCTCCTCCCCTTGCTCCTCCCATCGTTTAAATCTCTTCAACAGATCCAAACTCCTTCTCGAACATTGGATCGTATCGGTTGGCGGAGGCAAGATCCCCCCCCAAGGTGCCGAGTGTAACCATTGAGGCAGGTGTTGCGTCTCCTGGCACTGTACACCTCGTCTCTCACACGATGCACCACCAATGCGCACCTCCTGCATGCACACTTCATTGCCGGAGGCCCGGATCTGCTTCCACGGTTTCCTTCACACACACACTTTCTCTCTTCTCCCCGGTCAGCTCGGAGGGACAATGGGGATTATCTTACCTACATATGACGAGATGGATGCCCAGATCTGGCAGCTGCTTATCCCTCACTGCAGACCAACCGATTTCTAATCCAATACAAAACATCAAAGTACCTAACCTTACCTTATGAACCTCAACTTGCCCGGTCTGCCCTCAATAAGTGCAGGGGCAACAACACGAACAGCACGACCGTCTCAGCCCTGCAACGCAACCTGGGCAACTCTGCGTTTGAAGCAAGAAGACGGGGGCGCAAAACGCCCGGTTGGTTCATGACTTTTGGTCACTTGACCTGCAAATCGCGGGGTACCTTACCTACACTCTTGTGTGGCTTAGCACCGGCCATGTCTCGTCTGCTCCCTTGGATCGCGGCACTAATCTTTGGGTTCGCACTTGTTTGTGCAGTATGTCTGGCTAGGTATATCAATCACAGAGAGGCGGTCTGGAAAGAATGCAAAGACGCCGTTCTTCCTTCTGAGACACTCTCGCGCACACCCATACTAGCCCACACATGCCCAACCGAGACATTCCAAGCAATGACATGCGGAAACTAAAGTAGCAGACACGACGTGATAAGTGTACTAGGTAGGTAATGTTTTACTGTCTGTGGTTTCCAGTCCGGTCTCCAGGTATCGTTTGGTAGTCCCCTTTCTTCAGCCCGTGACCTGTTGAAGGCCAACCCATTTTGCCCTTCAAGGTAAAGAATGCTGCTACTCAAGGTATCCAAATTAAATATGCTGCCGCCTCATAACTTGATAATGCTCTCTCCCCAAAATCCCACCAGAGGCGCACCCGAGGACCACATGATCTCACTGCCGCGCCCTGTCTGCCTCCCGCTTCGCCTGCTCCTCCTCGAGAATCTCTCTCCCGCGCGCCGCAGTCTCCCCTTCGGCCTTGATGCCCTTCTTGCGCTGCCGCTCCTCGTACATATCACGGCTCTTCATGATGCGCTGCACAATCGTCCCCGCGTTGACGCTCGCAAACTCGTGCTCGCCCACGGCCCGCATGATGCCCATCTCCTTGGGCGCCGTATAGGGGTCGTATGTCAGCGGCATGAAGGCCGTGGGGCCGTGGTACACGGCGTCCGGTGTGCCCCACGGCAGCGACGTGAGGTAAGCCTTTGTCGGGGCAAACGGGGCGCCGAAGACGACGGCGTTAACGTACTGTACACCACTCGTTAGCACAATGTTCTTTAGTACTCTGTAGACACTCTTGCAGTTCTTACCCTGCACTGCAACACGCAGAGACCACGCTCGTAAATGTTCATGATGGGGTAGTTGATGCCCTTCCAGTGGTTGATCTCCTCGTCCGAGTGGATGCCCGCCACGACGTAGGCGGGCGGGTAATCGCCGCCCTTGCTGACGCGCTCATTGACGGCCTGCTCGGTATACCAACCCTCTCCGCGCGCGAGCTCCTCCTCGGCCTCGACCACCCGGCGGAGGAACTCAATGTGCCCACTCGAAAACAAATCGAAGCCGCCATCGACGTAGACGACGCGCTGACCGATCCGCGGGCCCTTACCCGGCAAGAACCTCGAAAAGACGCCCTTCTCCTCGGCCGTGGCCTCGGCCTTGGCCTCACCCGACGCAGACCAAAACCACACCTCGACGCCGGGGTTCTTGCCCGTCTCGTCGGTGGCATAAAGCTTCATCCGCTCCGTCAGAGCACCAGCCTCGGCCTTGATCTCGTCCCGGGACGTCGCGCCCTGGCCCTGGGCCTCGTCGCCAGCCAGGAGCTTCTCAAGAGACTTGATAAAGTGTGTCTTTGTGCAGAGGAGCATGCGGCCGACGAGGTCGGTGGTGGAAATGCTGGGGGTGCGCTTGACGACCTTGAAGCGGCCGGCCTCCTTGACGAAGCGGTAGCAGTCGTAGCCGTCTGCGTCCGAGGTGATGTCGTCGCCGTGGACGACGTATTTGCAGCCGTAGTGGCTGATCCAGTCGAGTTGCGTCACGTAGGGGGCTTGGCCGACGGATTGTGTGACCCAGCGGCAGGCGTCGACGGCGGCCAGGCTTTGGGAATGTTAGTAAAGTGCCGTGAGGTAGGGTAAGGCTGGAGGTGATGTACCGCTCTTGCAGGGTCATGACTGTTGGGCCCTTGTTCTCGAGAATGGACTCATCGGAGTGGACGCCGATGTAGAGCTCGCTGCCTAATTGGCGGGCTTGCACGATCGCTCCAGCATGGCCTGCGAGAACTTAGTCCTTGAACTTATCTGGCATGCATGACAATAGACTAACCGTGATGGAAAAAGTCGAAGCAGCCATCGATCCAGATGCGCTCCTCCAGAATCTCAGGGGCTGGCTCGCCGGGTGGGTATTCAGGGTCGGAGTTCACCATGATTGATGAGACGGGGTTAAGAGAGGACCCAAGTGTATAGCTGCTTCTCCAGGACCTCGAAGATCTTTAAGGATTTGATCGGTGTTGGTTGCAAAGAAACAGATACGGGCTTGTGATATGATCTGCTAGTGTTGCGTCAACAAGGTTTCACCGACTGGGCGAATTTCACATGAGGTTTGAGCCTTTGAGGGAGTGGACGGCGTAAGGTAGCTCAGGTCGCGATGTCCCGCTCCCGTAGCGGCGCCGTGTGATTGGCGAGGTTCCAGCGCCACTGCGATAGCCGAGACCCACCAGAGCTTCCAGCGGCCGGACCGGGCGACGCAACGGCGCTCACGGGGCCTTTTTTTCTGGTGAATCGTCCACTGTCCACTGTGAGCTCCTCCCACCAGCCTTCCAGGTTCACATGTTTCCGCCGTTGCCCGCTGTCAATCCTCCCGTCCCAACGGTTCTTCCCCTGCACCCCTCTAGCACCAACAAAAAACAAACATCAGATGGACGGATTGGCACGTGTTTTTGACAAACGTTTGGATTAACGCTTCTACCGCAGTATTCGCTAGCTTGTTGTCTTGAATTTCCTTTTCATCTCAATAGAACATTGCCCATCTCGAGACTAAACTATCATTTAGTTGCCTACCTCATAACTTGAACAAGCGACAATGCGCCAGAGATGCGCCCCAGAAGCTATGGCTGGGGATGACATGTCCACCAACGCCTGACGACGTAAGCTGGCCGAGCCATCTCCAATACTGGCAATATCCCATGGATGAGCCTCATTCCAACATTTACAATCTCCATCAAAGTTGATGAGATCTTCCAGGAACACGGACAGAAACGTGGTTGGGTCTCATCTGCTGTCAGGAACCTGGCCATCAAAAGGCGCCCACGTGTGACGAAATGTCCATCCATTGGTCACTGCCAGGGATCACCATCTTAACCACCCGCAACTTTCCAGTCCCCCGGATACCAACTTTCTCGGACAACATCTCGAATCTGAGCCTGGCGAGTCACCGGCACTCCATCTAGGCAATCTGCCCCGGCATGGCGCGTCAATGGTTCACGAAAAACGACTGGGATGTTGGAGCGGGGATCGTCGGTCTCCTCCATCTCGGTGGTATTTATCCAGAGCTCTCCCCGCATGCGACACTGCGATGTAGCTCTCCCCAGCTCCAGTTCTCTTGCACATTCTCTCGACAATCGCCTCCGGCAAGATGAAGGGTCTCGTACTGTCTACCTTCCTCGCTCTCGCGCCTCTCGCCCTCGCCGCCTGGCCAGAGGCCGAGGGAAAGGACATCAAGTACACGTCTGTTCCTGGGTACTTCTTGCAGGACGACAACAGTACTGATCCGACCGGCTTCGACTATGTAGGCTTTTGCCGGCTCTGAGAAATATCTCGGTGCAAATCTCTCACTAACAACGCATTACAGGCCGCAGTCAACTTTGGTCTCATCAACCGGACGTACCCAACTGACAAGCATTTTGACCCCGAAGGCGTCAAGACCCAATGGCAGCGTTTCGACCACTGGGTCCAGTACCTGAACTCTGGCTGCCGCAAGAGCGACAGCGTTCAGTACAAGCTGCTATTCATGGGCCGCCACGGTGAGGGCTGGCACAATGCCGCCGAGTCATTCTACGGCACCCCCGCCTGGAACGTGAGAACATGCTCTCAACACCACCGAAAACAAGACCACCGCAGCTAACACGACGACGATAGTGCTACTGGGCCGAGCAAGACGGCAACGCCACCGCTCGCTGGGCCGATCCCCTCCTGACCCCGGCCGGCGCAAACGAAGCCTACAAGGCGAACGCCTACTTCAAGGACCGGTACGCGACCCAGAAGATGCCCTACTTTGAGTCGTACTACACCAGCCCCCTAATCCGCTGCGGCTACACCGCCAACATCACCTTTGGCGACATTGCCATCCCCGCCGACGAACATCCCTTCATCCCCGTCGTCAAGGAAGGCTTCCGCGAGGGCATGACGGTACACACCTGCAACTGGCGCTCCAACAAGACGTACATCGCCTCCACCTTCCCTACCTTTCAATTCGAGCCTGGCTTCGCAGAATACGACCAGCTCTGGCGCCGCAACGAGAGCGAGACGAGCGACGCCCAGGACGCGCGGTCCAAGGCCATCCTCGACGATGTCTTCCGCGGCGACGACAAGACGTGGTTGAGCATCACGAGTCACTCGGGTGAGATCACGAAGCTCCTCAAGGCGCTTAATCACCGCGCCTTCCGGCTGTCGACGGGCCAGATTATCCCCGTGTTTGTAAAGGCCGAGGTCGTGGCGCCGGTGCCGCAGCCGACGTTTGTGGCGCATGAGCCGTACTCGACATGTACGAGCCCTCCCGTGACCAGTATTGCTGGCCAGGGGTGCGTTTGCGCGACGACGGCTTCGTCGGGGCTGATCCCGGCGGCCACGCTTATGGCTGCGTGAAGATTTCATGAAGGCTTCTTCTGGATGTAGTGGTGAAACATAGAACCTGATAGTCGTAATGTAATGACGATTGTAAGCAAGAGAGGCCGTGACAGGCTCGTTCGATTGCGCCTCGAAGGAGCCTCCACCGGGTTTTCCTTCTGAGGCAGACCAGTTGATAGCGTAGAACGATATTCAAATCAGCCACCAACTTGTCCAACCAGAGCGTTAGATATCGCGGGACGTAGCGTGCGGGAAAGCGGCTGATCGACCTTGGGCTCATCTTTTCTTCCGTCTCATCCAGCCGGGCTGCAGGACAAGAACCCTGTGTCTGATCACTGATCAGTGCTTCTCTAGCGTGTTATTTCGGCTTGCAACAGTAGTCTTTTTAATGAAGACGAAGATGGCGTTTTTTTCTTACTAGCCAAGGTAGCCATTCGGATAACAAGCCCAGTCGCGTGGTGTGCGATGGTGCGGTGGTGGTGGTACCTCATTCAAGGGTGGTGTTTTTCTTGCCTGGGGCGTCCGTCCACCACGTGGGACTCGAGCTTCTGGAATGTTTCAGGGTCTGCGTGGGAAGGAAGAGGCACACAGGCTCTCGAGAGGAGGGAAAGGAGGAGGGTCAAGGACTCAAGGGAGGGTATGTGCTGCTGTTAAGTCGGCGCTTTGGGCGTTGCGCGGTGGGTAGACTCTGGTATTAGAAGCAACGGCGTGTTGTCTGTGGGTGCTCGGGAGCAGATCATCTGCTTGACCCCGGGGGATGGGCCAATCGTCAACATTGCCGTGCTTGATATTAATCGTGAGGCAATTGAGATTGTTGTTGTTGTTGTTATCGATGCCCTCGGATGTTGTACATGGGTGGGAGAGGTGGGCAAGGGGTTGTTGAAGAGAGAGGGGGAAAGTTTCACGATGGAATCAGACTTATTTAGTAAACCACCTGGGTAGGAAAGCTTCCATACCGTAGGGGTTAGCACGGCTGAGGAAGAGTTGGGTAAGCTGACCCTAGAACATTTCCCGTGCAGCCATGGCTCTTTGGACTCTTTTTTCCCCCCCGAGGTTGTGGACTTGTTATTCGTTGTAGAATATCTGTGTCGCAAATTCATGTGGCTTGCAGATGCTTTGCTTCGATGTGTACTCCGTAACTCGGACGCGATAACCAAGGTAGGTATCCAAGTTGAGCTGTGAGTTGTAGTTTGACGAATTGCTGTTCGTGGCGCATTCCCCACCCCGTCACAGCTGTTTAGATCCTTTCTATGAAGCCACCTAGAGCTTGAAATGCGAACTTTTGCATCATCCAGTGCCTTCCTTTCGTAGATGTTCGGAATACTGGAAGGGTCTCTTTCGGGCAAGTTGGGGAAACACCGTGAAAACAAACAGTAGGCAACCCAGCAGAGCATTTGTATCTGCAAATGGCGAACCATGATCGGCGTAACATTCACAGGGATAAACGCAGCTTGGACACGGAGCACCTATGTTGAACTGCTATTAGATCACTGATCAGTCAGGCCCTGGACGGCGGTAGGGCCTTCCGTCCTCCGAATAGTATCCGTAGCATCAGCTATTTGCATCGTATCGTCTGGCATGTCTGGGATTATTTTCTGCCCGAGTCAATTCCAGACGCGCCCTTTTTATCTTTTCATCACTCATTCTCGACGTTGTTAGCCTTTTTCTAAACCTCCGAACCCCGCCAAAACAGGTCTCAGAAAGCACCCGACCGCCAAGTTTACAGTCCCAAGCACCGACAATACCTGCCTAGCACTTTGAGGTAGTGCCCTGAGATCGTCGGCTACACAAAGAAAGGAACCACAGCTGCGAACGGACGGTGCAGCATTTTCCGCGGATAATCGCTATTACAAGCGCATACGTCAGGTCAGGTGGATTGTCTGTGTAATCCGTACCTATTCTGTTTCTGTAGTTCTGTGCTACATGAAATATCCCCTCACCTAACCCACACCGGCAAGGAGGGAAGAAGAACCTCGAGAGGGGGAAAAGAATAGAACAAAACACGCACAGCATCCCTCCTCTGGGAATCCTTCCCTGGACACTTTCCTTTGCTCACGGGTTTTCGATTTGCCTGGAAAATCAACCCCCCCCCCCGGCCGTCGCTGAACATCATCCCGGCGCCTTTTAACATCCACTTTCTCCCACTCCGAAGCAGCAACAAAACAAAAACAAATACAACCCATAATACGTACGGATACATACAGCGGACGATCCTCTCTTTCTGTATCACACACCGTCGCATGTCCCCGTCCTACCTCAAGCATTGAAAGCAACTCAACTCAATTCGTCTCCAACGAAACCCGCCGCGACGCAACGACGCAACGTCTTTACACTTTGAACAAGCTCCGCGTTCTCCAGTCTTCATTAAACTCAACCTGCAGGCTGACGACTAGCCCCAATCTGTTCGAATCGCATTCTGCGTCAAGTGCCGCATCCCAGGGGCCTTGAGCTAATCTTAACCTGCGGTTTTCCTGCGTGTGCCATCCATCTCCATCTATTCAACCCATTCGATTGGAAGCCTGGAGGGAGTGAGATCAACAAGATCCCGTCGGCCGTCCAGTCACCAGTGACTGACTACCTTACCTTGGGTATCAGTCCAGTCAACCGGTCCTACTTCCGCCTTGCAGCACCCATCCATCAGCAGCAGCACACCACCACATCTGCTTAGCAGCAAACCCGTGGGCCGTGGCAAAGGGGGGAAAAGTGGCCTCGTGGCCTGCAATCGACCAACCGGAGAGTCGGAGACCGGGCAGACGAAAGCCATAAGCTGCAAAAGCAAGTCATAGTGTCAAGCAAGGGGTGAACTTTGGCAAGTTCGCATCCCGTCGACGAGGATTCAGACGAGCAGCGCAGCACGACGCAACCACCAACCGCGTACCCAAAGCAACGCAGCTCAACTCTGTATCCGTACTCCGTACCGTACCTTACCTTAGGCAAGGGGATTTAGCAACTCCATTGACTCCATCCTTGGCTTGCAGACTTCATTCAGCAAAGTACCCTACCTTACTTGCGCAAGGTACCCGAAAGGCAAAGCAAAGCAAAGCAAAGCAGACAATTCAGCTGCACTCGGCGCACCAACGCAGATACGCACACTCCATCTCCCTCATCTACCACCACTCTGGGGTTTCCAGTCGCATTGTTCACCCACGCAAATCGCAACGCAGCAGTCGCAGCCGCACGCCCACGCCTCGGGATCCAATACTACCTCGAACCTGGCCTGACCACGCGCGAAACCACCCTCGCCGATCGATTCGGCCCCTCGTCCGCCCTCCTTCGCCGGAATCCTGAACCTGGTCCCTGACACCCCTTCCCTTCAACGCCTCATCCTCCTCCTCCTCGTGCTTCCACCTCCCTGGGGCGAACCACACCGTCATCCCCCGTCATCCCGCCCGCTCTCCGTTCCCGTCCCCGTCCAGCCCTCCTCTCTCACACTCCTCCTAGCTAGGCCCAGGCTCAGCCTCCAGGCCACCCCCTCCAACTCAAAGACATGCAGCGATCCGGACCACCTCCCACGACCGCCAATGCGCCATTCTTCTCCTCCTCCTTCTTCTCCTCGTCTTCCTCAAAATCCCGTCCCGGCACATCCTCAGGCGAACCACCGCAACAGTCCCAGTCTCAACCACCACCACAGCCGTCCCCCTTCTTCCCGCCGCCTCTCCAACCGCAGTCCTCCGGCCCCAACGTCCTCATCAAGGATCGCAAGAACTCCTTTGGCCGCAAGACCTCCTTCAGCTCGCCCAACAAGTCCTCGTCGTCCTCCTCCAAGCGTCGCGCCAACAGCTCCAGCTCCGGCGGAGGAGGCAATGTCGTAGTCACCGACCGCAACGTCCCGCCCGCACTCCCCGACTTCGCCCTCGCCGCCGCCGCAAAGATCACCCGCGACGCGGACAACATCCAGAGCCCCGCCTCCGCCGACAGCTTCTCCAGGATGCTGAGCCGTACCCAGACCGGCTCGACGAGCCTGGCGCCCAGCGACCGCCTACAGCCACCGCCCACGTCCGCGACACATCCCAACATGTGGCAGTCGAGCGAGTCTGTCGTGTTGCACATGCAGATGCAGGAGATTGCGAATAAGAGGATATCAACGTTGGACTACCTACGGAAAGCGTATGTGCTTTACCCTCTCCATATGATTGCGTCTCCAGCTTGCTAACTACGAACCTCAACAGACACGAAGGCCGAGTATATTGGTTCAACACAATCCTCTTCGACAAGCCCGACCTCGCACGCATGCCCTCTTTCGAATCGCGGAAACTTGCCCGCCGCGCAACAAACTATCTCCTCCTCGGCCTCTCCCTCCCCACAATCGTCGACCTCTACGCAAACACCCCAATCGAATTCCTCCGCAGCCTCAATAACCTCCTCCAAGAATTCGAGTCCTTTCAACAACTCCACAGCGAGGGCGGCACCTCCACCAGCTCCCTCTCCCGCGCCAGGCTCCCCTCCATGTTCCGTCGCCAAGGCGGCAAGTCACGGCGCAGCGCCAGCGGCGCCAACGATATCGGATACCCTCTCGACTCGGACTCGGCGAGCGGCGGAAGCTACGGCGGCATCGGAGGCTCGTCGAGCGCGAGCGCGAGCGTAATGTCCTTTGCGTCAAGCGACAACGATTTACTACCGGGCGAAGTGTACACACACCTGCTCACGCCGTCGCTGCCGTTCGAGCCCGACTTTTACGAGACGTTTGCGACGCTGTGCGAGGTGCTGATTGACGTCTACACGAGGGTGCTGAGCCTGGTGCCCACGCCGAGGGAGACGACGGCGCCGGTGGCGGAGCTCTTTGCCAAAGCGGACGCCAAGGTGCGCAAGATTATCGTGCAGGGCGTCGTCAAGGAGTTTGAGGACAGCAGCAGGTCGCACATCAAGACGGAGGTGGCCAATATCGGCAAGGTTGTGCTTGGTGGGCTAATGTGATGGAACGATATATGGGACCCATGTCTGGAATGATTTGCATTTTTTCTACGGAGTTCTTTGTCTTTGCACCCCTTACGGATGGATGGTTTATGTATGAAACGTGGAAGAGATTCGGCGCAGGGCACGTTATGACGAGGCTTTCAGATATACCATATTCATGTTTGTTTCTATTCTGCTTTTTATATATACCTATGACTTAAGCCACAGGGAGAGGTGAGATCTCTCGGACCTTTCAGTCCATCGATAATTAAAATGACAAAAAAAAAAGTTCCAAGTGTTCATCAGATACCATAACGCATGTTTTGTCGCTCAGATTGGCGGACCCTAAGGCCTCTCACCGTCAGTGCTTGACTCTATTGGTAATCATCATCGAACTTGAACTGTGTGTCCCAATCATTTCGTTGGATCCAGGGCATCATAGACGGAAAAGACTTCCCACGAAGTCCAGAGTGTAGGTGTCTAGCCCCTTTGCGGACCAGCAAGGAAGAATGGAGACAAAACCCTCAGAAGAAAATCCAAAATTTTGGATTGAACCCCCCTCGCATCAAGAATAAGCCCCATCGAGTAACACGCCCAAACCTCAGTAAAGAGGTTGTGGACGGGCAATCGCATACCTATCGATCTCGACGAAAGACCCTCCGACGAACCCTTAAATTCGCCCGGCAAGCGAGCCCTCCCCAACGGCCACCCCGTCATCAAAGGCTCCCCCAGCCATCCCAAGGATCCCAAGCTCCAACTTCCCAGGCGCGGACTCATATCTTCATCCAAAAGGTCCTGGAAAGCTGAGACTCGGGTCTCGACAGGTAGAGAAAACCAACGATGTAGCGACGGGGCGGGGTGCGAAAGAGCCCATTGTGTCCGAACGCAGGTCTTGGAGGTCAGCCGCTGTGCTTCTATGGCGGCGCGTTTCCGCGGCGTTTTGGCTTCCCTGAAAAAGGAAGTAACGTGTGTCCGGGGACTTTCTCCCAAAGCTTTCAGCTGAGACTCCCGCGAAGGAAATCTCCGTTTGTGAGCTTCGATGGCGATTTGTCGGACGAGGGGGGTTGAAGAGAAGAAGAAGGGAAGAGAGCAGATGCGAAGCTTACAGTCTTTTTTATAAAGAAAAAAAAGTTTCGGAGCTGCAAGGTGGGGCTGCGTGGCTGTGGCTTGTTGTGGGGACCTGGGCTTTCTCACCTTCCTCTGCCTCCGAACTGTGGCTTAGGCGCCGGGAAGGGATGGGAAGGTACTCGGCACGTCAGGCACCCAGCCTTGTGGCTTTTTCGGCCAATGGGAGGCGGCCATCACTTTTCGCATCGCGACTGCCTTCGTGCCTGCACTGGAATTCGCATCGGGGAGCTTTCACTCGGTGACGATTTCGAACAGCTATTTGAAGCTTCTGCCGCCCGCCTCTGCTGCCACTAATTCTCTCCAACAGACATCCTGATCGACCGGATCAAGCGTTCTTTCTGTGCGACACCAGAAACCGTCTTTTACAACCATCCACGCAAAAAAACACCACAGACACATAGCTCGACCGACGACACACCGACACAATGTCCGGCCTCTTTGGCGCCGCATCAGCGGCTTCGTCGAGTAACACGGTCGGCGATCTCAAGCAGGACGTCGCTCTCAACAACCGGCCCGAAGACAGCATCTCCGATCTCGCCTTCTCTCCAGCTCAGAATCAGGCCAGCGACTTCCTGGCAGTCTCCAGTTGGGACAAGAAGGTCAGGATATACGAGATTGCACCCAATGGGCAGAGCGAGGGACGGCACGCCTACGAACACGATGGTCCCGTCTTCAACGTCGATTGGTCCAAGGTACGATATCAATACTCTCCCCATACAGGCGACTTTAGCTAATACTTCCAAAACCAGGACGGCACAAAGGTTCTCTCTGGCGGCGCCGACAAGGCTGTCAAGCTCTGCGACTTGGGCTCCCAGCAGACGATCAAGATTGGCGAGCACGACCAGCCCGTCAAGTGCGTCCGCTTCTTCGAGTCGTCCGGCACCCCGATGGCCGTGTCGGGCTCCTGGGACAAGACGGTCAAGTACTGGGACATGCGCTCGCCGACACCCGCGGCGTCGCTGGCTTGCCAGGAACGTGTATACACGATCGACGTGCGAAACGATCTTCTCGTCATAGGAACCGCCGACCGGTATATCAACGTGGTGGACCTCAAGAACCCGACAAAGTTCTACAAGACCCTGCAGAGCCCCCTCAAGTGGCAGACGAGGGTCGTCAGCTGCTTCGCCGACGCCGCCGGTTTCGCTATTGGTAGTATCGAGGGACGCTGCGCGATCCAGTATGTCGAAGACAAGGATGCTTCGTAAGTTTCGAATTCGAGGAACACGCGGATGAAGCGCGATAGGCGGCTAACACTGTATCAACAGCTCCAACTTCTCATTCAAGTGTCACCGAGACCCTCCTGCTAACAACATCACCAACGTGTACGCTGTGAATGACATCTCTTTCCACCCCGTTCACGGCACCTTCAGCACGGCCGGCTCTGACGGAACCTTCCACTTCTGGGACAAGGATGCCAAGCACCGTCTCAAGGGTTACCCCCAGGTCGGCGGCAGCATCACGGCCACTACATTCAACAAGACTGGATCCATCTTCGCATACGGTATCAGTTATGACTGGGCCAAGGGCTTCCAGCACAACACGCAGGCGTACCCCATCAAGGTCATGCTGCATCCAGTTCAAGCGGATGAGTGCAAGCCTCGCCCGACCATGAAGAAGCGGTAAATGTAGGCAAGGGTGTCCAGGGTTTGGGACAAGTTGGATGATGTATTTGGGTGTAGTGCGCAAGGCAATCGAGCACAGGACGTAAGGGGCAGATGGCAAATAGATGTCATCGCCCCAGGATGGATACCTGTGTAATGTACTAAGAGGAGGTCGATGAATTCGGGGCTCTCAGGGACCAAGCTGCAAGCAAATGTTATGGAAATCGCGAATCAAATCCGCGAAAAGGAGTGTACGGTACCGGACGATACCAAATTGGCAATCAAAAGTTTTAAGCACCAAGCGTCACGATGTTTTTTTTTTCTCGCAAATCATTCGTGAACGTGATTTTTGGGTTGGACTTGCTTAAGCAATATCCAAATCTGAGCCATTGAATTTTCTGAATGCTACTCGTACGCGATTGTGAATGTCAAGTTGGTGTTTCTACCAACTGAATCGCAATTAAAACCATGTAACCAACAATAAAATGAAAAAAGGCTGTCTCGACTGCTTCCCAAGCAAGTCCACATACTACATGACATAGGTAATATCATCCGCTTTGCTGTTTAGTCTCACATCGTAACACATCATCCCTCAACCTCGTCGGAGCTCACAGCTTTTTCTTTTTAGAAAGCAGGCTTCTGCGACGACCCAACAACGTTATCAACAAGACCCTTCCACAAATCTCTCAAACCAGGCTGGTGCGCATCAACCTCAGCAGCGGCCTCGCTGTCGTGAGCCCACTTCAGCTCGACGCCATCTACACCAAAGCCCTCAATCTCAGTCAAGGCCGCCGCGGTGGTGACGTTTTCGGGGTGTGCTGCAATGATTGAGATTTCGGGCTTGCTGAGCGGGAGGGCGTCGGCCGCGGCCGCGGCGGAGGAGGTTTGCTCGTAGAGAGACTGGTGTTTTGTGGTGAAGGAGTCTGGGAGGAGGGGCATGCGCATGCCTGCGAATTCGTTTCTGGGGGCGGGGTCGTAGGAGAGGGGGAGGGTTGTGAAGTCCATTCCGCCGGCGGTGGTTGCGGAAGAGGTTGCGGCCGAGGAGGAGAAGGTTTGCATTTGGCGGACGGACGGGGAGGTCCGGGTTGGTTGCGGGGTTGGGCGGTGGGTTGTGCTTAGGGTGCGGGCGGACTGTTGTGGTTTGTTAGTTTGGAGGTGTTTCAATAAGAGCTTCTTTCTCGCCCTCCACCAGCCTTCTTTCTCGGTGAGAGAGAGAGAGAGAGAGAAGTTGGAGAGCGGAATGGGAGGGGAAACATACGTCGTGCTCGCGGGTGCTCCGGTTCTGGAGGAGCTCTGCGTACTTTGGCATCAGGACGGCGCCGTGGTTGACGTTGTAGTGGGACTCGAGGAGGCCGCTGGAGCGGTTGGCCGTGGCGGCCGAGTTGATGGAGCGGGTGAGCTTTGCGACGGGAGCGGTAATGCGCGACATGGTGATGGTTTTTTAGGGGGGTTTGTTGGTGGTTTCCGATGTGTTGGTTGTTGGTTTTGGGGGTTCAAGTGCCGACCAGGCTTATAGTTGATGAAGCTTGTTGGTGGAAGTTGGTCGATTTGTCTTTGTGAACACAGATGTGAGAGTGAGAGTGAGATTTATTCAGGCTTGCTGAATAGTAGTGTAAGAGCGTTTGTACGGACGGACGGCAGATGTAGTAGAGTTGATGGACGGTTGGATGGAGGAATCGAGAGTGAGGATGGAGGGGGGAGTTGCACGGCAGATATACAAACGCACGGAAGGAGGGAAGGGCGGGAGAGAGATCAGAGATCAGAGACAGAGCTTCACACACTTCACACCTTGCACCTCACACACATACTCCGTACGCGCGCTATCTTACCACACAAGCATTCGCACACACTCCATGCACACAGGGCGTAAATACACACCCTCCCTCTCTGGCAAGTTGGCAAACCCCCCCGGAACTGGAACTGGAACACTGGAACGGGGACTTGGCCGGGGTGGGCGGGCTAACAAGTTTGGACAGATTTGGATTGGGGAGAAGGGTAGGGGGCATGGATGGGATGAGATGCGACGGAGTGAGCGGTGGGATGAGATTGAGACAGAGAGAGAGTGTGTGTGAAGAAGGGCGGTCCCAGGTCTGGGTTCGGGGATGGGATGGGATGAGGACGGCGGATGCGGTTGTGCTGGTGGAAGTGGTGAGTGTGTGTGTGTGGTACGGTGACTGAGTAAACGGTAAGAGTTGCATCCTATCTGAACCTTACGAGGGAATGAGAATGAAAAAAATGGTACATGCGTTGCTAAGAAACGTGGAATCGGGGTCAAAGTACAGGTCGCGCCCGTCGTCCGTGTAAGAGGTACGAAGGAGGTGAATGTACCCGGAGGTCCGGTGAACGGCGGAGGACCAGTATGCATGGCATGGCCTTTGGCGGAGGGCGAGAGCCGGGTGCCGGGAGTGGGTGAGGTACCCTTGCCAACAGGCACTTTGTATCCGTTTCCGCATCCTTTCTCGACTTGACTTCATGGTAGTATAACGCTATTGATCTAGAAAGCTACTTGGGCCTGTAAGCTGCCAATGTTGTGGTAAGAGTATACGGAGTACTGCTGTGGCCGTATGAGTGAGTTGAGTGAGTGAGTGAGATGGCCCCCCTGGTAATTGTTGAGGAGGGATCCAATCAGATCAGCAGGGGGCCCAGGGAGAACAAGTCATGGTTATTTTGGTTGGTTGAGTGGGGGAGAGAAGAGACGCAGACGCAATGTACGTGTCGGCATTCTGCCCCATGGATGTGCACGCTATTATGCCACCACGCATGCACATAAGGCGAGTCTTAATCAGTCTATTCCCCGCGGATGCAGTTGCCTTGTCCTTCTAGCTCCCAGAAGAGCCGGCGAACTTTCCAGTGAGTTTAAGAGTCGCGAGGCAAGATCACGTAGACTACGAAGTAGAGGGGGGGAACTCCATCGTAAGACTGACTGTAGCTTGGTGGATGTTGCGGATGAGTATCCGTAGTGGCACTATTTTTCCAACTATTATACAATGGAAATCCAAGCAAGAGCAGCAGTCTGGCACCAGACCGCCCCGATCTGCGGGGGGCCCGCGTGAGCTGACGACGGGAGGGGAATGGCGCGGGTGTGGCATGGATTTCCTGCCAACCTACCCCAAATCTCCTCTCAGGGATTTGTAAACTGCTGTTGCTGTTACCGTCACCGCTTCTCGATCTGGGATCTGCTGGCGCTGGATTCGGGTTCTGTGATGTGGTGTGTGGACTGACACTTACAGTGACTTCCCGCGGAGTCGGAGAGAGCTTCTAACCGTGCCAATCGTGCCAATCTAGTTGCGTTCTGTGGAGATGGAACGGCTGCTGTTTGCAGATTCACTGTGACAGTGGGCCCAGCACTCTATCTAAACTTGGCAGGAAACGAGGCGCTGGAGACAAGAGAGACATACGTAGTATCCCAACTCCATCAGAGGAGGAGAGAGGGCAAGGATAGGGCACGTGTATGCGATGAGCACGTTCAAGCAAAGAAGACTCTAGAGTCTGGACCAGGTTCGGTGGTTCACTTGGTTTTCTCGAGGTGGTCGGGTACTGCGATGAAGCAGCTTCGTGACCCTGCCAAGGCGGGCACCGTACGGGAGGTAAGCAGTAAGGTAGGCGAAGGCGAGCGAGGGTGGTGCTTTGGAACTTGGGTAACGGGTTTGCCATAGCGCTCCTGTCTTTGGGGGAGGGGGGAACGAGATTGAGCGAGATTGAGCGAGAACGAGCGAAGCTGTTCAACCAACCCCAACCCAGAAACCTATCAAACTGACGGTTTGTGTCACTGTGCAGTGCTTTGCTTGTTCGAGTCTAAACTAGTGCCAACTGCGAACTGGCTCTCGGGTGTCAGATTGTCATAGTTTCAATCGTGATGCCAAGTTAGATGATCGAAGAGACGAGTGAAGTGTGGTGGTGTGAAGGCAAGGAGGGTGATGGAGGGGGCATGACGAGCGGTTGGTTCCCTCCCAGAGACTGAAGACGAACCAGAGTCAGAGGCAACGGCGATAGCTGGATGGGCTGGCTGTCAGACAGACACGTTCCAACGTTCTCATGGCTCTTGGGGGGTTCCCGGTGATAATGATAAGGAACGAGCTACCTAGGTTTGTTACCTCAGACACGCCCTCCTCAACAGAAATAGAGACATCCATAACCCTTTCCAGCCTGGCTGGTCCTTGGATAGACTGTCACAATAGCAGAGCAGGAGTACCTTGCATGTTTGCCTGTCACCCTGTACTATTGTAGACTGAAAAACCCGGATCCCAAGCTTCGATCTCAAGGTCTCGTCGCATGATGGATAGAGTCTCCTTGACGCGCCAGTGAATACTCGCTGACCAATACCACCGGAGTTTAAGCACTGTTACGTGTCCAGCTCCACGACTCGGTGTCGATGTTTGTGATGATTTTCAGGGACGGCATTAACTTGAGAATATGGCTATGCAGATCGCGCGGCGCCCTCCGTATCCATCGAAACGTCAGGTATCCATCAAAATGCTTGTTGAGCTGAGCTGGCGTGGTGGCATGGCTGGCTCACAGGCTGTGCACCGCTGAGGCGTCCTTGACTCCTTGTCGACTACAATTTCCACCCATAAATCAAAAGAAGCTTGGCTACGAATATGGATACTACACTGTTGGCTAGCACTGACAGCGCGGGTTGACTTTGACTTGACATTTTCCCAGGTCCCTGCTTGTTGCTTTGGGGGGAACTCGAGGCGAGCAGGACACAGAAAACGGAGACGGGGGACAGGCAAGAACGACAGGGGAACTTGGAAGGGAAACCAAAAGCTTCGAGACGTTGAGGAGCTTGGGCCAGCTGCGGGTCCCCGGTACATGCACGCCGGCTTCCCGTCCCTGGGCCCCACTCACACCATACTACGTACCACGTACCAGTGCTTACTTAAGGAACCTTAGTAAGGTACGAGGGTACTTCTCTCCGACAATCCTCTCGGTCAACAACCCAAGTCTCTTCCAAAATGTCCATCTGAACAAAGACTCAGCAACCAGCAGCCAGCTCATACTTCGCTCTTACACCCGCGCACCAGTGACCACAGACGCACCACTGACGCTCGTCGTTGCTACACCTTACTCTGGCGTGTCAGGGCCCACTGGACGAACCGTCAGAGTCGCTCAGGGCTAAGGCACGGCTGGTCTGCCACTTGAATATTTGTTGACCGAGACGCGCATTGGCGTCCTTTTCGTCGTCTCCATCCTCGCTGTTTTGCTCTCTTCAGCAACGGGTTGGCCGTCGTAGCGCTTCCCGTTCCTGTTTTCCTCGTCCATTCTGGGTCCTTTCGTCGAGCTTGCGTCCTGGACTCTTGTGATCGCAAGTTCTCCTTTCGCCGTGGTCGCCCTGGTATTGTCCTAAAGGAGCGTGGTAACATAGGTACCGCTCTGCCCTGCTCTGCCCTGCCACGCCTGCCAACCAAGACATGCTGGGGCTAGCATATCTCCCCTGCCGCCGGGGGACCTGCAACCCCATGATCGCTTTCGTCGGCTGGGCATGCCTGGATGGGGCACTCTCGCTCGACATCAGTGGCCAGTCGCCCAGGCCCAGCAGGGGGCGAGACGTTGAGTCTTGACTCTTGAGTTTACCCTCCGATGATCGCACTGAGCCAAGGCCAGTCTATTTGCCTACCAACATGGTGGAAATTGCACCTGGGACAGTGCATCAAGGTATAAACAAGATGACGGACAGATACTCTGTACACAGGGCGAAGCTACACACTGCCACGATACGCTGGTGGTTGGCTGGCAAGCTGGAAAGCTCAGGGGAGCTCCATAGCTTCGAGTGCTCACCGCTTGGGGTTCAGATCCACCCTCCCGGGGGTGTTTGTGCCGCTGCCGCAAGTCGAATTACTCACTGAATTGGCGTCGGCATGATTGGCCACAGAAGACGGACGATCGGCGCATGGCCAGATCGTTGGGAAACCTTGCCAGAATCCCATGTCCCTTTCTCGAAATGTCCACCGTGACAGACGGCGACGCAAGACAGTTGCGCGGGAATCGTTCTCCGGCTTGAGGATGTTTGACGGTGCGAGTTGCCAGGTTCAGCGGGTAAGCAAAAGGCGCATCTTGGACAGTTTGGTCTGGTGTGCCGCTACTCGGTGCGAACGGCACCCTCAAAATCGTTCCTCTGTCGCTCGTGTAGTATCTTTCACTACCCATTCTTGAAGCTTATGCAGGGTGTGGCAAGCTACACTTCAGACGGCGTCTCAATCTGTTGTTCGCTGTCCGAACTAGACCTCCGAACAACTCGGCGATATTCAACCCCCATGAAGTCATGAAGAAAGGCCCATCGTTACGACCAGAACCTGATTCATGAAGCAATTTCGAAATGGATCCTTGATGACGACGGCAAGGAGAAGCGCCGAAGAGGAGGCCTAGAATCCCGAACGTTCTGATACCCGCGCCCTGCAGCGGACGGATTAAAAGCGAGAGAAGAGGTCGGAGAGCGAGGTAACTATCGCCGAACTTCAGACCAACCCGCCGCCGTGGGGGTCTTTCGGACAATTCTTTAATGGCTGGATCCCAAAAAGCACACGAATCAGGGCCGAGTCTGTGCGAAGGCAAAGTTCACAGAGGGAACCACTGGCCCGGTTCCTTGATCAAGGGAAGGCCCTGCAGTCTGTTCTTTCTGGCGTGTCCCGTTCGACTCTGTTATCCTGAGCGCCGGTATTTTAATAGCCCATGGCGTCTCAGTCGGGGCGACGGCCGTGCGACGACGTCTGCCGTTCCCGTGTATGAAGTTTGATTCTTGGACCAGGTTGGATGTACTGGGAAGATGGGCGGGATGCTTCAGCTCGCCATCTTTGGCTGGATACCTCGTAACCTTGAACGAAGGACTACACTGTGGAAATCCATTATCGCGAATCCAATGTAGAGCTCCTTCATGAGAATTGAATGAAGGCGGGTGGCTTTACTGACACACGTCTCATCTGCCTCCCGCCACGCCGCGAACCTCTCATGTAGATTATGACCGCGTTTGGCGTCTACGAGTGGCTTTTTACCGATGGCCTCGCTCAGCTTGTTTACCTTTTGCCTTTTCGAAATTCTACTTTGTGTAGGTATCCGTACGCATAAGCTTCATGCAAATGCAAATGTAATGCTGTCTGAGAAGATAGGTATGTATGCGACCTGGCGACTTAGATACCCAGTATGCACAGATAAGGGTCGAAAAAAGAAAGCATGCCGCCGGGCCTGGCTTATTCGAGATTGGTGATCAGGAACGCGTGATTGGCATCCAGGCACTCGGGAGTACCTACCGCTCTGAGTCTCTCATATTGAACACTGAGTGAGGCGAATGAGCTGCGGGCGATTTCACACTCACCGCTCATTCCATTCTGCCCCAATCCGCGAATCCGAGATGTCGTCCTCACCCAGTCATATCTCATGATCTCAGACACGCGATTGTCAGGGAGAGTTCTTACGTTTCGGGGCGGTCGCGGCGAGGATACCGGACGCGGGATACATGTCTAAGATTAGAGATTGCCCTGGCACAACTGGCACAGGGAGGCGACCAACGATACGGCGTTAAAGCCGCTGTGGCGTTATTTGTTCAGAGCTTGTGATAATGGCGTTTGAAACATGAAGTGGCAGGCTGGTGTGGCAGGTATCATTTATTCGAGATCCGCGGAATGGGAAGAGGAGACGGGCCGGGCCCGGGGATAGATGGGCATCGTCGTAACAACCTTTTGGCATGAGCCACCCCCATATGTCTTCTCCAGCCCTCCAGAGAGCGAACTCGGAATTACGAGATCCAATCATTTTGCCTCACCCCGCCCACGTGTTTGACGCGTTGCGGGCTGGCGAGGTCTCAAACGGGTCTCTCTCAACAAGACCTCAAACTTCTGCCATCTCAATCCGGGCGTGATAAGCTACTGGGGGCATGCCAGTCAACCAACCAATCACGATGTGCGAAACGCCGAACACTCCGGAGCCAGGGATGGGGCCGGCTCCGGCTTTTATTTCACTCGGCATGGTTGTTCTCGACGAGCTCCGCTTTCCGGACGGGAGCGTCCTCCGCGATGTTCCCGGCGGTTCTGGGTTTTATAGTGAGTGGAAATTGTGACAGCCGAGCCTTGAGTTTCAGCCGTTACTTGGTGTTCTTTCTTGACGTGGTTTTCTTGAAGTGGGTCTTGGTGAGATATGATCGCCCTCTGATGCTGGACAGGTACCCTCGGCGCACGCCTTGCAGTCTCGGGAAATGAGTCGGCGACTGTATGCTGTGTCATCACTGCTGGATCTGACTTCCCAGTGGTCGTGAGGGAGCAGATTGAGGGATGGGGAGTCGCTGTACACTACGATGAGATGCCGAATAGACTGTCAACGAGAGGTCTTTTGGAATATGAGAATGATGCTTCTGGAAGTAAGCTCTCAACATATTCATCTGTAGGAATCAAGCACCTAGACTAACATTACGTGGCAGAAAAGACTTTTCGGTACACCATGCCACCTTTACACCCCGATATATCCCGGCTTTCTGCAATGCTTCTTCAATCTTCTGTGATTCACACCCTGGCAACGCCGGAAGATCTCGAGCAACATGCGAGGTCTCTCGCAACCTTCCGCGGCGAGACCAAGAACTCAGTTTCCCTCATCGCATGGGAACCCTCACCCATCGATATCCATAACCGCGAAACCGAGCACCTGAGAGCCCTCCACCTCTCAGACATCTGCTCGCCAAACGACCACGAACTCTTACGTATGAAGGGCATCGACGAGAGCCTAGGATCACCTTACAACAGAGCACTGGTCGAGTACCACGCCATAAACCTCTCCAGTGGCAACCGGATACCGGGACATCCTGCGTTGTCTGAGGAAGCGCGGAACAGGCCACGAGTTACTGTCATTAGGTGCGGTGACCAGGGCTGTCTCACCATTCCCCGAGACGGTGATGCAACATGGCTGCCTCCTTTCCACGACTACGGCTCTTCAAAAGTCGTGGATCCGACAGGCGCCGGGAATGCATTCCTCGGAGCGTTTGCCATTGTTTTCGCGAGGACGGGTGACGCGGTGCTCGCATCCGCTTATGGTTCTGTGGCGGCCAGCTTCGTTATCGAGCAGATCGGACCGCCGAAGAGGGAGATCATCGACGGCAGGGAGAACTGGAATGGGGAGGCGTTTGAGGACAGGCTGAGGCAATATCAAGACAAGGTCGCGACGGGGCTGACCGACGTGGTTCTGCAGAGCAAGTAGATAGTGAAGCCAGTATGGTTGTAGAACGGGTTAGGAGTCCCGGTGGTCATCTGGGTATCATAACGAGATTCTACATTTCCTGACCTCTAAATGCTCGATAAAAAATATTGCCACTCGCCTAAATCCGTGTCTAAATCTTTAAGACCTTTTTTTCGCCAAGCTCATCGTCTCCCTTCTCACCGGATAACCTGTGTTCCCTCAGCGGGCTCCAGGATCTTCCACTCGCAGCCGACGTTCTTATCGACGTTGTTCTCCCTGAGGATCTTGATAATCTTGTTGGCAATCTCCTCAAAGTTGCTGGTGGCGAGCGCGAGGATGGTGGGACCCGCGCCGGAGAGGCAGACGCCGAGGAAGCCTGGCTGTGTGCTGGGGGACATGCCCTCGACGATCTGGCTCAGGCCCGGGATGAGGGTCTGGCGGTAGGGCTGGTGGATCTTGTCTTGCATGGCGAGGTGGATGAGTTCCGGGTCTGGGGGAGAGGTTCCCAGGGCCACGGGGAGGAGGGCTATTCTCTGCATGTTGAAGGTCTAGGGTGGGGTTAGTCGAGGATAGAACGAAAAGATATGAGAGACTAGGGGTTCAGGAGGCACTCACGACATCGGGACGGGTGTAGTGAGGCGGCAGCACCTCGCGGGCGAGGTGAGTGGGGACCTGGAAGTCGGGGATGATGGCGATGGCCTTGATCTCCTTGGCCCAGGGGAACTTGATGTGGTGGCCGATGCCGTGGGGGGGCTCCGGCGGGGTCTCGCCCGTGTCGACGCCGCCTGCCGGGGCGGGCAGGACTTCGCTGAGAGGAATCTCAATGCGCTGGACGTCTTCGGGCTTCAGGGGGCGGAGGTAGGTGCCGACGAAGCCGCCGTATAGCGAGGCACCGACGTTGTCGGGGTGTCTCTCTGGTCTCTTTGTGAGTAACACTGCACTGCAATGGTGAGGGTATCGATACTAAGAAAGGGGGTTCTCACCAATCATCAAGCAGAAATCGAATAGTCTGTCCAAGCTAAGGTGATCCAGGTGTCCGACCTCCTTTCCGAGCATCACGCCGGCAACGACAGCGGAGCCGGAGCTACCAAGGCCGCGGCCGAGCGGGATGGGGTTCTTGATGTGGACATGGGTTTCGACGGGGAACATGCGCTGGCCGTGGCACCGCAGGACGTAGAGGGCGACGCGGGTGATGAGATTGACGGAAGGGTCAAGGCTGATGTCGGAGGAGCCCTCGCCCTGGCCTTCGTAAGTGAGGCGGCAGTTGAGGGGTTCCGAGGAGGAGGTCTTTGAGCGGTCGATGGTGACGTGCAACTCGAGGTAGACGGAGAGGGCGAGACCGATGACGTCGAAGCCGGGGCCGATGTTGGCCGAGGACGAGGGCGTCTTGATCACGAATGTTTCTTTGGTCATGATGGACGAGGCTGGCGGTTGGTGTAAGTTGGTTGGGTGCCGGAAGAGGGTGAGTGTGTGTGGGCTGAGGATTTGAGATGAGGTGAGGGGTTCAGATCAGTTCGGTGAAGCGGGGTGGAAGCTTCACAGCGATCGACGGTCGTCTCAGTGTAGGGTATTGAAGGGATCTGTGATACCTTCTGGTGGGCTTTTACGTGAGATGAGAATGAGTTCTCATACAGAAATGTGAAAATGGGAGTGAGTCTAGCTCAGTGCTGCTTGAACTGGTGTCGTTCGTGACTCAAAAAATTTGGATGTCGCCCGATGACCGGAGCGTCTCAGCGGCCCGGCGCTGCTTCCTGGTGGGGTGAAGCCCTACACAGGAACGTCCAAGTGCGGGGTGTCCTTCCGGGCCGCCATTGGCCAATGAGATCACTGAAAACCTCTAATGCACGGTCAGCTCTCAGCGCTGTCACGCAGTGTCTTATCGCCCTGCCTGAAGGCTGAACCTCAGGTCCGCTGAGATGAGGTGACCGTGCCTGAAGCTCCCTAACTCTCTCTTATCTTATCGCGCCGCCTCTCCTTCTCTTCCAATTTCCTTTGACTTTCTCTGCTCGGTGCCTCTTGCCAATGACAACTGCATCTTTCAACTACATCTCATGCCTCGTCCCGGTGCAAGGCTGTGTGACACGCTGCTCTACTACTCGGCTTCTCTGCCTATGACTTACCTGCACATGTTGACGGCATCTGCTGCCCTTTAACATCTCGATTCGCCAACACAACCAGCCTCTCCAACAAACTGCCAAGAGCTCTCGACCTCGGTCAAGATGCTCGTCGATCAACAATCATCGTATGCCCGGCAGACCACAGGACCGTCGATCTCTTGAGGGGTTGCTCGCGATCTATCACATCCTTCCTGCCTTGTGGACTTCATTCTCGTAAGAAAGTTGGGACTCTAGGCGTCTTAATCTATTCTCTTCCCTGCCCTCACAGCAGCTCAACTCCCAACTCCACCTCGCATCACCGTGCTCTTACGAGTAACTCGCCCTCGGGTTGTCCCCGAGTCTGCAGAGGGCCGAGTCAGTGTGCTTGCTGAGAATCCTCCTTCCAAATTTTCAGATTCGAAATGATCATGACTCTCTTCATGAGCAGCCACCTTCATTAGAACTGGTACTGAAACCCCAGTGCCCAACGGGTCTTCGCAGAGACGACTATTCACCGCCTCCCTCGTCGAGGGTCTATCGGAAACTCCAAAAAGGAAGCGGAGATCAGGACAAGAGCTCGTGTTCTGCCGAGCCAACCGCACTCTCCACAGTCCATCACAGATGCCTGTCAGCCGCATCGGAAAGCTCCAGCATGGAGTTGCGGAGCTACGGATGGGGCATCACTTACTGTTCAGACGCCACAAGTCATTGTGGCCATGACCGAAATCTATTCTCAGCTCAAAGACGATCACTCAGAACTTAGAAGAGGATCACGAGAAAAGGGCGGCGAAGCTCGGATACACCGGACACCCCGCGGACGGCGACACAGCGACTAACACGGCGGTCGGCCCATGTCGCAGACGAGTGAGACAGCGCGTGCCGATCCGCGCTTGCGCGCTTGTAACGTTGCTCGACGCCACGGATAGTCAGCGTGAAGCGCACCTTATGCCAATAAGCGGAGGGTGAATGAAGGGCTTAGGGCTACCATGCTGCCCTACTGCTTCGCCATCGTGGGCGAGCTACGATTTGCTAGATTCCGCGCCGGTGCTCACTGGTGTCCCTCCTCCTCCTCCTGTTGTGCTCGTGGTGGCGGAAGGTAGGTCTGACTTTTGGGGCTCATCTGAACGTGGGATGGCGCCCGCCGCAGCCGTAAGCCCATGACGCTCGACGTTTGCATCGCAGAACGCCAGCCCCATCCTTTGAGGAAGCACGCCCCGACCACTCGGACTCGGGATTATTATGTCAAGTCTTTTCCTCTTCCTGTACGACGAGGAAACAGTAAGGTCGCAGCGGGCAGCGGACGCATGCGTTGGCGAAGAAACCGTTTCTGGCGACCAAAGGCAACACGAGGAAAACAGAGCCACCTGACGTTGCGTCCCGCCGGCATTCTGTGGGGAATAACAAGAGATCAACACCTGTTGGCGGGAAAGTCGCCCGACGCACAAATGAGCCAAGTTATGCATATTGAATCGAGAAAACTCCTCTGCGACGGCCTAAACAAGCTGGGGAAAAGTGTCAAGAACGAAAAAAATCGTTGCTTCCAAGAGTCCTACGTCTAGTTGCGATACTTTGTTCGGAATCAGTTAATCTCTTCCCTCAGAAGCGGCTGGGAGGAAATAGAGGCTGGCAAACTGGGGCAAAGATGCGGAACCAAGGAATGCTAAACCCGAATAACCTTAGCGGTCTCTAATTGCTAAAATAAGCCCAGGATGACAGCCCTGTCGCATGCACCGGTCAACTACACACCGTCGTCGGTCCGTTGCAGCAGCAGCCAATTCGAGGTATCGCGTGTTTGCTCCCGCCCCGTGCCATGAGCCGCCAACGGCGCTGGAAATCGGGGCTAGTGAATACGAGAATAATCCTCGCCTCGTTCTAGTGGCCCTTTCCCCACGTCAATAAACCAGATCTGCGATCGGCAGTGCAGGTGGTGCTTTTTCTACAGACTACGGAGAAACTCTCTCTTTTCCCTTGCTTCCCGTTCACCTGCGCCGCTCAATACGAATTGAAGGAACCCTGGGGAAGGCTTACCCCCTCCGGCAGTCATCCCATACGATGTGACATGTAGTATGGAGTCCCGCCAAGCCGGCCAAGGGTCCTGTTGCCGGCCATGTCACGACATGACGCTATGGCCGGAGAGACCGCAACGTCATGGATGACTTTTTCCCGCCTTCTTACTCTGTTTGCCGTTGGAGACAATGATCCGCTTCGGTTCGGGTCTGGTGATGGAACCTAGTGAAGAGGCTGATCATTGTTGGGGATGAGCTGAGTGTCAGGCTGTATAAGAAGAGACTGAAGACTCGCCTCATCCGACTTACTTCTCTCTTATCCTCATCAGCTTCTACATCAGCCTCTTCAACTACTACATACCAACAACTCTAAAAAAGCTTCCAAAGCTTCATTTACAACACCACCTCAACCACACCACAACCAACATATTCAAGATGCAGTTCTCCAGCCTCGTCACCATCCTCTCCTCCGTCGCCGCCGCGGCCGCCGTCTCCGTCTCCTACGACACCGGCTACGACGACGGTTCCCGCTCCCTGACCGCCGTCTCCTGCTCCGACGGCGCCAACGGCCTCATCACCAAGTACGGATGGCAAACACAGGGCCAGGTCGCAAAGTTCCCCTACATCGGTGGCGCTGACGCCATTGCCGGCTGGAACTCCCCCAGCGTAAGTTTGCGATTCTTCTCTTGCCCTCTTCACCAACAACACTCGCTAACATACATCACCAGTGCGGCACTTGCTGGCAGCTCACCTACAACGGCAAGAGCATCAATGTCCTCGCCATCGACCACGCCGGCTCCGGCTTCAATCTCGCCCTCGGCGCCATGAACGACCTCACCAACGGCCAGGCTGCTCAGCTCGGCCGCATCGATGCCCAGGCTACTCAGGTCGGCCTTAACGCCTGCGGTCTGTAGATCAAATAGTGGCAACGAAACAATGTCTTTTTAACGACGAGAACGGCATATTAATCAGCATCAATAATTGGAGGGTGGTTCAAATGGGAAAGCCCCCGACATTGCATGGAACCGGCGCTATTCAATCCTTTGGCATATGCATATCACGATACATTCCTTACATAGAAGCATAATCAATCATAATGAGACGTGGCTTACTGCCTCTGTCTATCAGCATTACAAGAAATATTCTTTTTATTGGGTGATTCAAACTTTTCAATACCTTTGATCTTACAGCCATATTTTGAAGTTGTTGGTGTACACAATTCACCTGGAAGTGAGCTGGCACACGAAATTCAACTTCATCAACTTCTTTCTGCCAAATTGCGTGAGTCTACCCACACATTTCTGTACTGAGGAAGCATGGGGTAAATTCGCGAAAAAATGACGACACGGTATTGCACTCAACCACGGCACTAGTCCGACCTTCAACCGGTCCGGCCGAGATATGGAGACAGCGAAGCCGGGTCCGAGCCGGACAAAGTGGAGCCAACAGACCGGCACCTTAACAACTGGATGTCTAAATAAACCCACTGAACCCTAGCACTTCACATTCACAAAGCTAGATGGCATGACACTCGTAGAATTCGCTGACGCATTTCCGATTTCCACCAGAGTGACCGCCGCTGATGCACTGACCCAAAATATCGCTCATTGCTTCCTGTGACCTAGGTCAGCACCGTAATACACCCAAGGTACTTCACTAAATACCATACCGGAGAACACTGACCTCACAATACAGAGTTTGCTTGGTTCTTGGAACCGTCATACTGCACACCACGCCACCGCCGGACGTGACCTTGTTGGCGCAGGCGCCCGCAGGGCCACACGCGCGGCAGAGCTCGGCTGCGCGGTTCTTGTAGGGTGCGTTTGGTTTGGGTGCGCCGCCGGAGCAGTTTGCTGCTATAGCTGTCGTTATGAATGTGACAAGAGTTGATATGCAGAACTTCATGGCTTGGATTTGTTCTTGATTAGGTAGATGATGAGTATCAGGTAAGTAGGTAACAACGAACAATTCCAGCTGATAGTTAGAGAACATTGGCGTGGTTTATTTGCTTTAATGAAGAGAAGATCCATGGAAAAGAAAGCAACTCTTTATGTAGCTATTCTCGCTCACGGCAGGACTTAGTCTGTGAGCCATATAGCCTCGAACCTTTGTCTTCTGCCTTACTTGTAACTATCGAGTCCAGGCAACTTAGTCTCAAGAGTATGCTGATCCAGGTCAATAAGCCTTCACGCCTAACATCTTTGCTTACTCAGACCCTTCAGCTCAACATTTCACATGCCTCAATAGGGAGGTGATCATAGATAGTGTACTTGAGATCGCAGGCCTCTTCATAGATCTCTAGTAAAGAGACAAATAATCTGTGTTATGAAAATAGTGTCCCCTATTGTGGCTCTGTAGGCTGCAGCGTTTCATTGCCGAGGCGCTGTTGTCAAGACTAGCCTCTAAGTCCTCGACATCGTATAACTTAGCGCTAGTAGTTGGGCAGGGACTCGAACGAACTAGAGGATGCGAGGAAGCCCCATATGATTCAATTGAGTAAGCAGATACAACATTTAGCTGCCCAGCCTATGCATATGCTGACTATAACATCCTAAATTTCTAGGAAACTTCAACTGTTTTGCGGAGAGTATAAGACTGATGAGCCACGTTACAAGGCGAATCTGGAGGTGATGAGACGTAGCTGGGTACTTTAGATTTGTGCGGAACTCCGCCGGCATGAATCGCAAGACTCAGCGACTCTCAGGAGATCTTCTCACTGCATGGTATTGCAAGTGGATAGATTGAGAACTATCTCTGAGGCGGTCTACATGTGTAAGTCTCACTCGGGCATGGGAAGGGGACCAGAGACCCTCGGAGACAAACTCCAAGTCCTAATCATACTTTCCGTCGTAAGTATGGCAAAGACGCTGAGCCTGCTCAAGTCACTTAGGTAGCCTGAGCCGGGCTACAAGAGGCAGAGTGTATAGAGCAGCGGATATTTGAGGCAGAGTGACGCCGCAAGTGAACATGAGATAAGAAACACATGACTCAACCCAGTCACAACTCACTATTGAAGAGCTCACGATGATTTTTAACAAAATTCTCATCAGCCTCCTGGCCGCTATTCCTCTCTATAATGCCGCCACCGTACCCTCCGCTGTCACCAGAGAGCCTGATTTCGAACTCATCTCGGAGGCTTTCGAAGCAGGTCAGATGGTCACCAACCCAGACATCAGCATCGGCGCCACTGCCACCAGTGCAGCTGAGAAGCGCGAGCACGCTGAGTGCTGGAACAACAGTAAACATTCCCTAAAAGAACCGAATGGTTCCTACTCTATCTCTGCCTCTGGGAACCATCTCCTCAGTGCCCAACGTCTTGGTGCCCTGCTCCTCGAAAATTCTCCGTCAGTTTTCAGAAGTGAGCGTTTACTAAACCAAGACGGGTTGCATTGATGACGACCAGGCAGAAACACAGAATCGATTCCCGAAGATACGAGGGTTATGGTTATCTCCTACTCATCTTCCTGCTGAAAATTCGAATGAAGACTGTTGAGCCGCTCAGAGAGAGAGAGAGAGAGAGAGAGAGGCGACGTCACTACCTAAGCTGCATGACTTTGTATGGTGGGGTTGTATGTCTAGACCTTTGAGCAACGAGGTAAGGCAGAGCCGCGTTCATCTCGTTGCCCAATACGGCTTAGTAGAACTCTTCGGACTAACTTGGACAGACTGACCAGACATCTTGGAGACTACCCAAGTCATGTTGCGGCATGGATGACAAAAAAGTGAACAATACCGGTGAAGATTCGAGAGTCAAGCGCACGTGAATGGAGGGGCAGAACAGGTACGTACCGGAGGGAATGGGCATTTTCTGCAGGCGCGTCCAGTAAAGTTGATGAGGGGTACCTGGACTTGACCCCGCCTTGCATCAATTTTTTTTTTCCTTTCCCCTCCAAGCACTGGCAGTTGACCTTCGACGCCTTATCTTATCAGCAGTGGCGGGGCTCATCTCGAAATTTTCACGCTGGTCCCCTAAAATTTTGTGTGGTGCAGTCGACGGGGTGCCTCCCAAAGCTGTCATTTGGCTGGTGGTTTTATTATTTTCTCATTATTTTTATTTTATTTTTTTTCGTCGTTGCGGCATGTCATAGGTGGTTCGGGCATCAACAAAACAACTGGCCGACACCCCGTCCTGGTCTTTCTGTGCTTTAATAAAAATTCAGTTGCGCCGGGTCACTACCTTCCTTTCCCCTTCTCTCACCTCCCTCTTTTTTTTTTTCTTCCCCTCCTCGTCTTCTCCTTCTTTTGCGCATAGTTGTGAGGACGACGAGACTCCAACAGAACCTCAAGATGGATAAAGGAAACTTGGTCCAGCTGCTCCAAGCGAGCCAGATTCGTAAGTTACCTTACTCAACTCCCCTTTGCTTTCCCCATCGCCCTGTGCCACCCCGGCCGCAAACCTGGTCGAGCCCGCCTCCCTCATTTCGTCGCCCTCGCTTGTTTTGCTTCGTATTTTTTTTTTTTCGCCTATAAATTTTGCTTTTTCTCCAGGCCTTCACTTTTGACTTCCTACGAAATCTGTCTTGCTAATGTGTTCTTTGCTCTCCAGCCGACACCGAGAAGGTCAAGGCCGTTACGGCTGAGCTTCAGAAGAACTACTACTCCAAGCCCGAGTCTCTTCTTCTCCTCATCGAGATCACCATCTCCCACGATGACGCCGCGATCCGCCAGCTGGCCTCTGTTCAGGCTCTGCGCCTGACCTCCAGACACTGGAGCAAGATTGACGCCTCCCAGCGCGAGGCCGCCAAGAAGCACATTCTGGACAGCATTCTGAGCGATCAGTCTGCCCCTTCCCGCCACTCCAAGTCGCGTCTCCTTGCTGGAGCTATCGGACTCGACCTTGAGGATGGCGAAGGCCAGGACTTCGTTCGTGGCCTGTTGTCTCTCAACGTTGCCGACAACGTTGCCCACCGCGAGGTTGGCTCCTACATCCTCTTCGCTCTGCTCGACAACGACCCCACCCACTTTGTGGAGCAGGCCCAGCAGCTTCTCGGCCTCGTCCAGAAGACCGTTGTCGACCCTGCGAGCGCCGACGTTCGCCTGAACTCTGTCAAGTCGATTGGCGCCCTTTTGATGATAGTCGACCCCGAGGAGGATGCCCAGAGCGTCCAGGTTATCCAGCAGCTCGTCCAGCCCATGGTCGAGATCCTCAAGAACGCCATCTCCGAGGGCAACGACGACTACTACCGTGATGTCTTTGAGGTCTTCCAGTCTTTCCTGGCCTACGACTCCGCTTTCTTGGGCCCTCACCTCAAGGACCTCATCCACTTCATGCTCGAGCTCGCTGTCAACAACGAGGTTGAGGAGGAGGCTCGCTCGCAGTCTCTGGCTTTCCTCAGCCAGTGCGCTCGCTACCGCCGCATGAAGATCCAGGGCATGAAGGACATGGGTGCCCTTCTCATGGTCAAGAGCATGCAGATTGTCACTGAGATCGAGACTGATGACGATGACGACGAGAACTCCCCCGCCAGAACTGCCCTGAGCCTCATCGATCAGCTGGCCAATGACCTGCCCCCTCGCCAGGTCATCGTGCCTCTGCTTGAGCAGTTCCCCCAGTTCGCCCAGAACCCCAACCCTGGCCACCGCAAGTCCGCCATGCTTTCTCTCGGCACCGCTTCCGAGGGTGCCCCCGACTTCGTTGCCACTCAGATCCAGCCTCTGCTGCCCATCGTTCTCACCCTGTTGAACGATCAGGACAGCTCCGTCCGTCACGCTGCTCTTGTCGGCCTCATTCACCTCGCCGACGAGATGGCTGACGAGCTCGCCCCCAAGCACCGCGAGCTCATCGGTGCCCTGCTCACCAACCTCGAGGCCGTCGCTGGCTCCACTGATAGCCAGAGCGTCAGAATCATCCGCGCTGCATGCGGTGCGCTTGACTCTCTCATTGGTGAGGGTCTTGATGACGAGCTCATCAAGGAGTTCGGCCCCAAGCTTATTGTCCCTATGGGCAAGCTTCTCCACCACGAGGACTTCTCCGTCAAGGGTGGTGCTGCCGGTGCCATTGGCGCCATTGCTGCCGCTCTTGGTAGCGAGCAGTTCAAGCCATACTTCGCTGAGGTCATGGGTGCCCTTGGACAGTACGTCACTATCAAGGATGGCGAGGAGGCCCTCAACCTTCGCTCGGCCGTCTGCGACTCCATGGGCCGCATTGCCGACGCTGTCGGTGCCCAGGAGTTCCAGCCATACGTCATGGACCTCATGAAGGCTAGCGAGGAGGCTCTCAGCCTCGACAACGCTCGTCTGAAGGAGACCAGCTTCATCCTTTGGGCTTCCTTGTCCAAGGTCTACGGCAAGGACTTCTCTCATTTCCTCCCTGGTGTCTTCAAGGGTCTCTTTGACTGCCTTGAGCTCGAGGAGGAGTCTCTGTCTATTCCTGGCCTTACCGAGGAGGATATCCCCGAGGGTCTGCTTATCTCCAACGGCAAGAAGCTGAATCTGAAGGCTGCTGCTGATGACGACGAGGAGGACATGGATGAGGATGCCGACTGGGAGGATCTCGAGGACTTCGCTGGTGTTACTGCCGTCGCTCTTGAGCAAGAGATAGCGCTTGAGGTTCTTGGCGACGTCATCACCCACTCCTGCGACGGCGCTGCCATCGAGCAGTACCTCGCCGATGCTATGGGCAAGGTTTCTCCCCTGGCCCAGCACCCCTACGAGGGAGCCCGCAAGGCTGCTATTTCTACTCTCTGGCGCGCCTACGCCCGCGTTTGGCAACTCTACGAGGAGTCGACCGGCGCCAAGTGGGAGGCTGGCTACCCCCCCAAGCAGGACCCTGGCCAGGTCATCAACGACCTCGGCCAGTCTGTTGTTGAGGCCACTCTCAGTGTTTGGGAAGAGGACAGCGAACGGTATGTGAACGAATATCTCTTTTTTACTTCCCCAACCCCCCGCCCTAAAGGATGAGTAACTCTCGTTATACCCAGCTCACTCAGACGCACAATGTGCGGTTGCTGAGAACACGATTGATCACGTCTGATTCATTGGGCATCTTTACCATTTAAATGGCTAGCGTTTGATCGGGCATTTAGCTAACGTTTCAACAGCTCTGTCATCACTGAGATCAACCGTAACATCGCCGCCACTCTCAAGTCATGCGGTCCCGCTATTCTTACACACAACGAACTGCTCAAGAGCAGCTTGACTATCCTTGGCTGCCTCATCACTCGCTCTCATCCCTGCCAGATGGATCTCGGCGAGGAGGAGGAAGAGGAAGCGGCCGAGGGCTCTTCTGAGTTCGACTGGCTCGTCATTGACACCGCCCTCGATGTCATCCTCGGCCTCGCCACTGTCCTTGGCAGTGACTTCGCTGAGATGTGGAAGGTCTTCCAGCAGCCCATCCTCAAGTTCGCCAGCTCCCAGGAGTCTCTTGAGCGTTCCACTGCCGTTGGTGTTATTGCCGAGGCCGTCAAGTACATGGGCCAGGCCGTCACCGAGTTCACCGACTCTCTCCTGCCCGTCCTGATCCACCGCCTGACCGACCCCGACTCTCTCGCCAAGTCCAACGCCGCCTACGCTACCGGCCAGCTCATCTTCAACTCCCAGGCTACCGACAAGACCATCTCCCAGTACCCCACTATCCTGGAGAAGCTCGAGCCCCTCCTCCAGATCAAGGAGTCTCGCATGGTCGACAATGTCTCCGGCTGCATCTCCCGCATGATCATCCGCAACCCCAACCCCGAGTTCGTCGCCCGTGTCCTGCCTCCTCTGGTCGATGCCCTTCCCCTCCAGGAGGACTACGAGGAGAACGCCCCCATCTACCAGGCCATCTACAACCTGTACGACTCCCAGAACCCCACGATCGCCAGCCTCACCCCCAAGATCCTGCCTGTGCTGCAGGCCGTCCTCAGCCCGCCTGAGGAGCAGTTGGAGCCTGAGACCCGCCAGTTGTGCCAGAAGCTTGCCCAGGCCCTTCACTGAACGTGTGATGGCTAGAGCAAGCATTGGAGGAGGGTATTGAAGCAGGAACTTTTGTGTTGCCCCCTTAGGGGCTGTTAATGAGTGATGAGTGGATGAGACACCCCCATTTCCTACAAAGTCTGTAGATAGGTTCATAGATTGCCAGGGTTAGACTTCCTGGATGATTCCCAAAATGCTCTATCAACTTTTTTATGTTCAACCTTATCTATTCCATGCATCGCCTCTAGTGATTCTGTGGGCTCTTGACGTCTGATCTATATATTTCAACATGCTGGTCCCGAGCGTGACGGGGTTGTCCAAGGAGTCCTCGAACAAGACCTTTGCATCTCCAGGCGAGCAAACGAAATAAGAATATTGGCCAAATTCTGCATGTCTCTCTTGTTGCCGCTACTATCATGGTTTTTCTCCTAGGCTTCTCAACTGATATGTTCAAGAGGGGTTTGCGGAAAGGTACGTGATCCAGGGGACGATGACGGGATCAGTAGGGGTAGACGCAGCTACACTGAGCAGCAGGTCATCTCATCACAGTACGGGCTAACAAGTCTAGTCACAGGAATAAGCTTTGCACTTAGCTTCGCCTTAGTAGGAGCAAAGAAAAGCTAACAAGTTGAGAAGACCCAGTTGGCCGTGCAAGAAAGAAAGAGAACCTCTCTTGCTCGCTGATCTTCAACCACTTTGCAAGCAGCCTCATATATGCACTTTCCACACTGTGGTCGACTCTCTGGCGTTTCCGTAGATGCTATCCCTATATCGGATACAATTTTTAATGTTATTAGTATGTCGCATTTCGCCATCGCCCTTGGCCATCCTGCCGCCGAACACCGCATTTATGCGCCTGGATACAATTTAGGTGCCAAGCGCTTCCGGGACACTGACGGGTTGGAGTCCTTTACTGCAACATGATCTTCTCTGAAGATCTGTACGTAAAAGACGTGATAGTTCGTTTATGCAGCCCAGTTCCGGCTTGAAGTATCCCATGGCTTAATTAAACTTGTCGAGCACAAATAAGTAGAGTACTACAATCAGTCTACATATCGTCATCTCTCGGTTTACTCGAGGTCGAGTGAAGTTCACGGTCCATCAAATGCTCAGACGTGCTTCTTGGGGTCACTTGAGTTTGAAAGTGCGTTCTAGGCGTCCAAACCTCTTTTCTAATTCTTGTACGTCTCTTCTAAAGCCATGGAGATCGAGTCACACAAAAGTTCTCTCACTTTAGCCCTATTCTTCCGGTCTACAAGATCGCCATGGTCTAAGTCTGGCAAGATTCGCCAGGGACAAATGCAATCGTAATCGCCATCCTTGACTGCCATGCGTTGAAACACCGAAGACATGCCCACTACCTTTTTGATATGATTCAGACCTCGCATGCGATTTCTTGTGTCGGGATGGCGCGAGAAGTCAATGATGCGCCCAGCCAGAGCCGCACCAACCACTGTCGAAAATGAGGTCCCGGACAAAGGGCTCTGATTCTTCAGTGCGATTCCCTCGCCCAAGATCGCAAAGTTGTGGGGAGACTTGGGCAAAGGTGTGGGGTTGAAGTGTGGCAGACTGCGTGCTTCAGCATTTGTGGCAAACATGCACAAGACCTTGTTGTGCCTGTATAAGCTGGCTGGGAACTTAATCCCTCCCAGGTTGCCAGCGTTGGAGGCAGCGCTGAAAACAAGAGTGCGAGCTCGATTTGCATCCTCGATTGCCATTTCCATGTCATCATTGTGCCTAGGAAAGCCCGAGGGCATGATGATTATGTCAACCTTCCAAGTTTCAGTAGCATGTCGAATGGCCTGTTTTATCGGTTAGCTCGTGTGCTACTTACAGGAAACTTTGAAGTCAGAGAGTTCACTCACCTTTGTCATGAGCTCTGCGGTACTGTCGCTAGCTATAGCCATCTCGAATACGCGGCCCACAAAAACCTCGGCGTCAGGATAAACCTGCTGAAGAATGCGCAAGGCGTTTGTTCCGTGGCCAACGCCATCTTCATGAGATATTGTCTCTTCGTTCACAAAATCCTTGTATTGGGCGAATGCCTCTGCAGACTCTGAACTGTTGACTCCAGTGTCGAGAATTGCAATCTTTGCAAGTGTAGATTTTGCATCTCTGCCCCCCCCCCCCTTCTGATTCGAGTGATGGTGTTAAAGATGTCGAGTCGCTCAAACCAAGCATCAGAAGACTCTCTTGTACTGAAACATCAATTAGCCACACTTTGACAGATTGCCAATCAATGTTCAATGTGGAGCCGTACCTGTTTTGTGCAGATCCATCTCTTGAGCAGGGGCTGGGTGCAAAAGTTGGCGAAGTGATCTCCGGTGGTCGCTGTTGTTGCTCGTGGGGGATGAGAGAAGTAGGAGAAGGAAGAGAATCAGTAACCGCTGATTTCTGCTGACTTTGTATTACAGGGTGAACATATCCTGCCGTGGGAAATCATATGTGATGCCCAGTTCGCGAGCGGCAATACCAACATGACCGATGGGTCTTCCACCAATACCAATGATCCCCGACTAGATCTGGACCCGTGGAATGAACAAAAGACGTATATCCAAACGATGCTAGGCCAGCTTGCACGAATATCCTCCGAAATCAGGAGCTTCAGCTTCAGTTATCGATATGATGAAATCAACGGAGCACTTGAGAAGGAAGATTTCAAAGATTTGCAAAACTATCTCATATCTTTGATCTCATATCTTTGATCCAAGTTGCACAAACCAACGTCGGCAAATCATCCAATGACTCCAGAGTAGATGGAGCCTTGCGGTCTTCACCTCACACGTCCGAAAGTATCTCTCGTGTTCAATGAAGACTAGTACACGCCAATATTTTCCGACGAAGTTGCTTGAAAGATGGAGATGAATTGGCGCTACACGATGTTCAAACACAGTCCACTAGCGATGCATCAAAGACGGTATTTTCAAGCGTGCCACACTCTCAGATAATCAAAACGTTCCTGATGAAGGCCGTCGAAGCACAGGCAACCGGCCAAGTTGAGATCAACGTTGGCCCAGACTTCGGCCTTCCAATTAGTCTGGGACTCCAGGCCAGGCTCACAACAAACAAGGCAACCAATCTGCAGTCAGTGGAGTTTGAAAAGATAAATCCTGAATGGATACCGCAATGGAAGGAAGTAATGGAGTGGGAAGCTGACTGAAACATCGATCGCTGACTAGCTAACTACAGAAACTATGTCGCTCAAGGCCTCCTGCCATACACATGCATTTTCGAAGATTGCAAAGTCGACACGAGGATACACGAAAGCAAAAAGAGTTTAGCACATCATCTTCTGCTAGAACACGGGAAAGACTATTGGGTCTGTTGCTCTTGCAAGCCTTCCACCGTCAAACCGAGTCGGATCTTCGAAACCTCCGCTTCTTGGGAAGCACACATGACTGATTCTCACCCTCAGCTGTTCTCCCCAGCGCAGCTAGGACTACTCGAGAACGTGAACAGGATTCAGATGATTCCGGCGATGCCGTGTCCCTTCTGCGGCGATCTTGGAGAAACAGACCCTTTGGATGAGCTCAGTGAGCATGTGGCAGAGCACATGCATGAGTTTGCACTGACTACTTTCTTGTGGCCCTCCAAATTCCACAGAGATATTGAAAAAGAAACCTCTGGGGCGGCCTGTTATAACGCGATTGATTCATGCCGTACCGAAGCACAACCGAGAGAGTCTGATGCTTTACCGAGAGATCATCATGGACTGCCGCAACTACAGTCTGCCCCAACCTGGAAGCTTTTGAGGATACGAATGCGCAACCGCCAGAATTTAAGAACCAGGTTGGGACGGTACGCCTTAGGCCAACCTTGGATGAAAAAGAGGCTGGCCAACGAGAGGTCGATCCCAATGTTAGGCGGATTTGACCTTGCACTCTTCTCTCATGTCCTACTAAGAGAGATTTATTTTTTCGCTGATCCGAGTATGAAACGTTGAGATCCCGTCTTGCCCAACAGGGGCGTTGAGTATCTGACTCTCGCGGGACTATTCGACATTCATAAGAAAACGGAATCCTACCCCCCCGAAATCTCTGATCCGAGTATTCCAAAGGAGTCACCTATTACATACCAACCGCCAGAGAGCTATATGCTCGTGCCGTTTTCTCACCCTCCGGATGGACTGATAGGCCTTGGCAACGTTATCAAAGACCCGTCTAGGCCAGATGAATTTCTAGGAAATTAAATTGCACTTCAGAATTGGGGAGCGAAACTTTTCAGGGCGAAAATATCCGGATAACGGGATCAGAAGCACCGCCACGAAACTGGAAAACCTCATTGCAAATGGGAAGAAAACAAATGCCGGGCCATGACTGGGCCAAAGACAGCGTATATTTTCTCGATATCAAGACTCTAGAGAAGAGCTTTTTGCGCAAGTCTCCAACTAAGGAAGCCATCGAAGCGATTTGCAATGATCCGTGGATCAAAGAAACAACGCCATCCAGACTCTCGAGAGGTCGGCCAGTCTATGTTATCAATGGACTGATCGTAGCAAAAGGCGTGCGTGTGAGAGAGAGTAAATACTTAATGGCAGAGGTCCTTGGAGACCCGCCGTACACCGCAGATCAAAGTTTTGATGCTGTATTGGCGTATTCGCTGCTGGAATTCAAGTCACGATTGGGAGCCGGCGACAAGCCAACCGTCAGAGCCTACGACGGTGGAAAAGCAGCTATTCTATAATGTTTGACCTTTAGTTTTGCCTTTTTGGTCCTTTCTTGATTTGGGTTGTCTTGTATTTGGGGTGCCTACACTTCAGTCAATAATACTCGGTTGAGAATTTTTCAATCAAATGACACAGTTGCTACCTGTTGTTTTTCCAAGGACCAAAAAGCTGTCCAATCATGCTCCATCTTGAAAGATTTTTATTGAGCGGTAAAGCTTTCAGGGCCACGGAATTGATATAACAGGTAGCCATCATCATCATTCACTTCTTTCATCTCACATCCAGATAGTTGCTTGGTGAAAGCTGAGGAGCCCTCCCGGTCGAGTTGTTTCAGATTCAGTCAAGTAGCCATTGTTTCTGAAGCTATCCAACTCGTGAACCCTATGGAATCTCTAGAACATGAGACTGGCTATTGTAATACAGTTTACTTCTTATATGCGCTGTGGCGGTTGTCGTCGTGAGGCTCATGTTGTGGTTCGGCCAATGGTGCAAATCCTGACGCACAAGTTTGAAGTGCCCGGAGGGATCTAGATTTCCATGCTCAACCTCCTCAGTTTCCTGAATCATAGCAGACCCCCTCCCACTACAGGATTCGAAAATACATAACAGCTATCGACCGGACGCTTGACAAATGTTGACTCATTTGATTCGAGATGAAAATCACTATCATCAGAAACTCTCCACAGGCTCTCGGCTTATGAACCCGGCCTCTATTGGGCATCGTGGTGTACATCTTCTACCCCTTAAAAATTGGTATAAATCCTCGCCTCCCACCCCTTCAACAACGGCGTAACCCCCTTCACCAACTCCCCACCCTCCCTCGTCCCAACCAACAACCTTACCTCAGCCGCCTCACACCCAAGCAACCCAGCTACATCCCCGCCACTCTCTCCATCCTCCTTTGAAAAGTTCATCACCACAAGCGCCCTTCTCTTCATCCCTCCCTCCTTACCATTCACCGGCGCAGGGCTCTCCTTGAGGATAACCCACGTCCTCTCGTTGTCAGCATCAAGCAGCCGATGCGATCCAAAGACAAACACATCGCGGTGCTGCTTCCTCAGCTTCAGCACCCTTTTATAAAACGACAAGATAGAGTCCGGGTCACTGCGCTGTTTCGCCGCGTTGATGGACTTATACTCGTCATGCACCCTCATCCACGGCTTCGCGCCCTCCCTCGCAAACCCGGCATTCGCACTATCGTCCCACTGGAACGGTATCCTTGAGTGGTCCCTCGCCAAGATCCGCAAGCCGTGCATCGTCTTCTCGATCCGCTCCGTATCTCCAGACTCCAACGCCTCCGAGTAAAAATTCCCGCTCTCGATATCTTTATACTCCTCGATCCCCCAGCTGGCCGGCATATTGGTCATACCAATCTCCTGTCCCTGATACAGGAACAGCGTCCCAGACATGGTAGCCTGCCACAGCGCAATCGTCTTCGCCGAAGCAAGCCACAGCTCCGGCGTAGAATCGTCACCAAACCTCGACACCGCGCGCCCGTTATCGTGGTTCTCGCAAAACGCCGTCGCCCACGCATCCGTCCCCTCGATAAAAGACTGCCACGTCTCGGTGTACTTCTTCAACGTCGACAGCGGGAACGGCTGATAAATGTACTTTGCGCCGAACCCGTTCCCGTTACCGAGGCGAATCACGGAAAACTCAAACACCATGTCCAGCTCCTGGGCCGCGGCCGAGACATAAGGGATCACCTGCGACGGGTGCGGCGTCAGGGACAGCTCGCCGACGGAGACGGCGTTGTACGGCGCCAGGGCCTTGCGGTTCATCTCGCGGATGTACTCGTGGATACGGGGGCCGTTGCACCACATCTCCGGCGCGGGCTGGTGCGGCGACGTGGGATCGGTGATGGGGGCGTCGACGTAGTCTGTGCGTTTGGAGTACTTGTTCACGGTATCGATGCGGAACCCGTCGACGCCGCGCTCGAGCCAGAAGCGCATCGTGTCCTCGTAGATTGCCTCGCGGCAGGCCTCGTTGTCCCAGTTCAAATCGGGCTGGTCGGGGGCGTATAGGTGTAGGTAGTACTCTTGGGAGTGCTCGTCCCAGGTCCATGTCGGGCCTGCAAAGTACCCGCGCCAATTTGTCGGTGGATGCCGCACGCCGTTGGCATCGTAGCGCGCGGGCTTCCAGATGTACCAGTCGCGTTTGGGGTTCTCCTTGGAGGAGCGGGATTGCTTGAACCAGTCGTGCTCGACAGAGGTATGGTTAACGACGAGATCGAGAATGACCTTCATGCCGCGCTTGTGGCACTCGTCCAGCAGGGTATCGACGTCGTCGACGGTGCCGTAAGGTGCGTAGATCTTTTGATAGTCGGAGACGTCATAGCCCATGTCGGCCTGGGGGCTCTCGAAGATGGGGGAGACCCAGACGACGTCGACGCCGAGCTCGTGGAGATAGTCGACTTCGGCGATGAGGCCTGGAAGATCTCCCCAGCCGTCACCGTCCGAGTCCTTGAAGCTGGCAGGGTAGACTTGGTAAAAGGTGGCGTCCTTCCACCAGGGCTGCTTGCCTACCCAGCGGTTCTCATCATCCCAGACGAGAGATCCCATGGTGAAGGAGGGGGCTGTTGAGGGTGTATCAAGCCACGCTGTAACGAGGGTGAGCTTGTCGTCGACCGGGTAGGTGGAAGAGAACGAGCGGCAGACGGCGGCAGAAGAAGAAGGGGGACGAGCAGGAGAGGGGGAGGTCGAGTTGCAGAGAGTCAAGTGTGGGAGAAGTCCGAGGTCAATGGGCACAGGTCAGGACGCGCCGGGAACGATTCGCATTTTGACCACGCGGCGTACGGGCTGCATGGGAATTTAGACGGCGGCGATCAGCGGCCGGGGCAGAAAAATGGCGTGGCGACATGACATGCAGCGGAGAGAAGAGCGATGGGCGTGGGGGGAGTATGCGTAGCGGGCATTCGTACGAAGGGAAATGGACTACGGATACAGTTGTGGTTATCGTGGTTGTATGTGGGTTGAGTGGTTGATTTCGGGCGAGGATTTCTGCTTCTACCGAGGACGGGAAGCGGGGGATGAATGTCGTGCCGGCGGAATCAGTCCGTAGAAGGGCCGTGGGGAGAAAGGATGCATCGTGTGAGGTGTGACGGAGTGAGAAATTGCAAGAGAGTGCGTTTGTCGGTGGAGATGCCGATGGGAGAATGGGCAAATAGCTAACGGAATCCCCGCCTTTTTCTTGGTTATCTAATTGCTGAGTCCTCGCCGCTGCGGGATGCGTCTCTCTCTCTCACAGGCTCACGGCAAGTATCCGTGGGGAGGCCGTTAGGAGGAAATGTATGCAACGTGTGGTCGCAGGAGGGCATGTTTCCCCTCCTCACTCCGCATTGCTCCCGCCCGTTCAAGGTGCCAAGGTGGTGGATACGAAATATCCGTACGGAGTAGTGTACGGAGTACTGCTGTTGAAGAAGCGGAGATATGCGGGATTGCCTTGCCCACCAAACGCACATTTCTCTTCGGTTTCCATTTGGATTGTACGTATCTCACTTTGGCTTTTAATTAGCGCTCCGGCGGCTTGGGATTGAAAGTGCTTAGACTCCGCATCCGCCGCACATGGTCAGTATCGGATGATCATGCATTGGGGTCAACAGGAACAGACCGTCGTACAAGATGCAAAAAGTTGAAGAATGAGAAATCTTCACCGAGCGGAGACTCCGCCTTCCCTGTCGGCGAAAAGAGTGGAGACAGCCCGGACCCGGAGCTGCTCCGCTAGACTCCGCACCACCCTCCGACCCCCCTGTCTTCCGCGGGAGCCACAAACGTCATGATCGCCCACCAATCAGAACCCCCCTCAGTCAGACTCGGGAAGAAAAAGTGGTGATGAGCTTCAGGGCCGTCAGAAAAGTCTGGAGAACCAGGCTGGCTAGATCATGGCTGGGTTGGTCGCGTTCCCGAATCTGGGGAAAGCCGGGAACAAACTCAACTACGGGCCAGGCTGACGGTGGCTACGCCGCACATCCGCATGGAGCTCGGCTCGGGAAACATGAGGCGCTCAATTTAGTTTCGACCTCGTGAGATGCCATGATGCGAATAGCGTCACTCCATCATTCCCGATCCCTACTTTTTCCCTTCTCCCCCTTAATTCATACGGTAACTCCGTTGACGAGAACTGTCACCGGCGGAGTCTCCTGTTGACGCCTCGTGCCACCATCTCCAACATGTCCAGAATGGATTCTAGCTGCACCTTGGCACGAGTCGAGGACGCCATCACCAGACCCGAGGATGGCTTAGTGAAGCTTCTTTTCCCTCATCGATCCATGGCTCCAGATTCCATCTCCATGCTCGTCTCCGGATTCATGGAGTTGCAGCTGGGAAACACTCCAAAACGAGATTCAAGGAACCAATCCCGTTGCTCCATGGCATCCCCACAACGCCCATCTTTCTCTCAGGCTACCTTACTGCGTACTCCGTACGGATACAATGCTGCACACCGGTGCATCGTCTCTCCTCTTCCTCCGCTTCTCCACATATTGCCCATGGAGTTGGGAAAAACACAATGATTCGACAGCCCTTCCCCTCCTCCTCCTCCTCCTCCTCCTACACAGTAGTGTAAACCACCAACCGCCCTCCACCCATACATACCGAGGACCGGGCAGGGGTTGAACCACTCGGCTTTTGCTTCGTCGGGCGATGGCTCATGGCCAAAATCAGATGGGCTTGGCACAGCAGCAAACCACCCCATGTCAACCGAGACTGACACACTTTCAACCTGCTGCAAAATCCTCCCTCACTCTCACCACAATGACCACACAATTAACAATGCAATCACGCCAAACCCATCTTGTCCAGGGGACCACCACCCCCCCCCCCCCCCCAACTTTCTCCCCAAAGGGAACCGGAGCAATGCAGTAAAGGCGCACGGTTCAAGCCTAGGCGTCTTGTCACTGAACTTTTAGCTCATTTTTATTTTCCAACCTCTCACTCGACTCACCTTTTTTTTCCTTTCTTCTGCGTATTGCTGCACTACGAATACGTCCTAATGTTACTTTGACTACGACCCTTCTCGTCGTACCGAAGCTGTCAAATCTCATTCGGGGCCTGGCGACCATCCTTCAAGGGATATAAGACGCCCCGAATGCCCTCCTCAACTCAATTGACCTCCCTCCCTCAGGCGTCCGACTTCCGCGCATCACCGAGCCTCACCCACCTCCTTCATCTCCTCATCACCATCTCGTAAATCTCATCCCATCTTTCATCCGTAATATCACCAGCATCATAAAACTTGATACCCTGTACATACAACCATCAACCTCAAAATGGCCGACCCAAAGCCGCCCTCTTCCCCCCTCCACGAGGACAAGGAAACAGGCATCCACCACCACGCTTCAACCACAGACGACGTCAACATCGCAAACCCCACCAGTAAAGATGCCGCCCACCCAGAAGACCTCGCCGCAGAAGCAGCCCAAGCCGCCTCGGCAGAACACAAAATGTCCCTCCTCGAAGCCGTCCGCACCTACCCCAAAGCAATCGGCTGGTCTGTCCTCCTCTCCTCCACCCTCATCATGGAAGGCTACGACCTCGCCCTCCTCAGCAACCTCTACTCCTCGGCCGTCTTCAACCGCAAGTACGGCACCTTCAGCGAGGCCCAGAACAAGTACGTCATCTCCGCCGCCTGGCAGTCCGGTCTCAGCAACGGCGCCCGCGCGGGCGAGATCTTTGGGCTTGTCATTGCGGGCTGGACGGCGGATCGGTACGGGTATCGGGTTACGACTATGGGATTCTTGGTGTTGATGATTGCCTTTATTTTTGTGCTGTTTTTTGCGCCGAATGTGCAGATTTTGGTGCTTGGGGAGGTCCTCTGCGGTGCGTCTTCATACTTTCTCTGTCTGATGAGGTGTGATTGATATCTTTATTCTAACGTCTTGCAGGAATCCCTTGGGGTGCTTTCCAGAGTGTCACGCCAGCATACGCCTCCGAGGTCGCTCCCGTCGTTCTCAGGCCGTATCTCACCACCTTCATCAACATGTGTTGGGTATGTCACAATCAGAAGAAGGGCAGCCACGAGACGGTGCAAAACTAACAAAACCATAGGTCATTGGCCAATTCTTCTCCGCGGCCGTCAACAAGGGCTCCTACCACCACAAGGACGAATGGGCCTACAGAATCCCCTTTGGAGTCCAATGGGTCTGGCCCATCCCCATCCTCGTCGGCCTCTTCTTCGCCCCCGAGTAAATCCCCCTTTTCCTTTAGTCTCGCCCTGGTTTTTTTCTTTCTTGAGAAAATTTCCCATCTCTTCTTCTATGCTTTCGACTAACGACAACAGATCCCCCTGGTGGTACGTCCGCCACAACGATAAAGCAGGCGCCAAACGCGCCCTCCTCCGCCTCACCTCCCGCAACCAACCAAACTTCAACCCAGACGAGACAATCGCAATGATCCAGCACACCAACGAGCTCGAAAAACGCGCAAAGGAAGGCGTAACCTACGCAGACTGCTTCAAAGGCATCGACCTCCGCCGCACCGAAATCGTCGTCGGCATCTGGCTCGTCCAGACCCTCGGCGGGCAGAACCTCATGGGCTATTTCGCCTACTTCCTCACGCAAGCCGGCATGGACCCCGGCAATTCGTTCAGCCTGTCAATGGGCCAGTACGCCCTCGGCATGGTCGGCACCGCGGGCTCCTGGTTCCTCATGTCCCGCATCGGGCGGCGCACAATCCACTTCTCGGGCCTCTGCGCGCAATTCTGCCTCTTGCTCATCGTAGGCTGCCTCTCCTTCTCCAACAGCAACGCCTCCGTCTGGGCCATCGGCGCCATGCTCATCGTTTTCACGTTTGTCTACGACTTCACCGTCGGTCCCGTGACATACTCCCTCGTCTCGGAGCTGTCATCCACCCGCCTCAAAAACAAGACCATTGTCCTCGCGCGCGCGGGCTACAACGCCAGCAACATTTTTGTCAACGTCATGACGAATTACCAGCTCTCGTCGACGGCATGGAACTGGGGCGCGCGCACGGCGTTGTTTTGGGCGGGTACGTGTTTGCTTTCGTCTGTGTGGGTGTATTTCCGCGTGCCGGAGCCAAAAGGCAGGACGTACGCTGAGTTGGATTTGTTGTTTGAGCACAAGGTCTCAGCGAGGAAGTTTGCGGGCACAAAGATTGATCCGTACTCGCATGAGCTCAACAGCGAGAAGAAATTGGCCGAGGAGCACTGAGCCTTGTCTTTGCCATGCTCCGGACAAGGGGATAAAAGCAAGAAAGACAGAATGCGTCCACAAACGGGTCTTGAAGATGTTGGATACCCCTATAGTTGGAGTTATTGTACCACTTAGATACACTACAAGCGTAATCTCATGCATAATGAACAGGCCTTGACCTCTCTCCCCTATGTAGTTTACACTCGACTCTCTTTCCTTTTCACGCAAATCCCACCTCGTATGTCCATGGTATCAAAAATTATCTCACGTCGGCCGACGCCCCAACGTCCCGGCAATCGCCATACTCGGCACAGCCTGCTGAATATGCTTCTCCAACAAATCATCATAGATCGAATTGCCCCCCGGCAACCGCGTAATCAACCTCCTCATATACTCCAAATCATCCTCCGGCCCCGACCCCGTCCCGCCCATCCGGCCCCTCGGGCTCGACGGTTTCGTAATCGGCACCCGCGCAAGCACGTCCACCGCCGCGCTCGCGATGTCAAACAACTTCTCCGTCAACCCCACCCCGTGCACCTTGATACTATCCACCGGCAAATCCCGCGTCGACAGCACCAAGTCCTTGGCCACCTCGAGCGGGTAGTGATACGTCATACTCGGCGAGTGAACAGACTCCTCGGCAAGATACCCGAACCGCAAACGCAGCTGCCAGAGGATAATCCGCAACCACAGCTGCGTCACCCGCAAGTTCGCCTTTTGCGTATCCTTCAAGTCCGAAGTCGACCGCAGCGCGCCATTCACCGCCGTCTCGATATACGTCAACGCCGCGTTCGACGGCGGCGTCGCCACCTTTTCCATGTTCAGCAGCGCGATAAACGACGTGTCCAGCGGACTAAACAGCGCCGCAAGACTCCAGAACCCGGAGAGGCTCGGGTCGTCGGCGCCCAGGGTAGGCGACTCCGCCGTAATCTGCAGCGTCACGGGCCTTCGGTACCGGATCCCGTGCGACCGCTCCGAGACCAATAACACCCAGAACAACCTATCCGCCAACACCACGGCCCTCGGACTCGCCGACGCCTCGGGCGTATTCATCCTCAACAGCAAGAACAACGTCGTTGCCTCTCGCAGGAACAAGAACGCCTGACTATGGTGAAACAGCGCAGAGTGACACGCATACAGGAAAAACGTAAGCAAACACTGCTCAAACGTCGGATTCGACCGCCTCGCGAAATTCCGATGCGCAGCGAGCGCCTCCTCAAACAACATCCTCCCATGCAGCGCATTCTTCTCCGGAATCAACCCCTGCAGCCACAAACTCTCCGGCTCCTCCACCTGGAGCAGCACAAGCGCGCACACCGCCGTCAGGAGACAATGCGCCTCCATCCCGACCTCGCTCGGCCCCGCGACGACCTTCATCTGCGCGACGTACTCGGGCGTCAGGATCGGGATCGTGGGATGCAGCCGCGCGAAGAAGCGGTCCACGCAGTAGTCCATCACGCGCGCCGGTAAGAGGTCCGCCATGCGCTGCACGGCTTCGTGGGGCACGTGGCCGAAAGCCTGGGAGCCGTCTGATACCCAGGCGAGGGAGACGGGGCCGGGCAGGCCGAGGCACTGGTCACCTAGGCCGGCGTCGACGCAGCGTTTGCAGGGGCGGTATTCGTTGCATGCGCGGCGGAGGTTTTTGCAGCGGGCGCAGGCGCGGGAGACTTGGGCTCTTTTGGGGCGGGAGCCGCCGGATGAGGAGGATTTGCGGCCGGCTGAGGTTCCTCCTCCATTGTAGTTACCACCGCCGTTGCCGTTGCCGTTGCCGGAAGAGTCTTGGGCGTCTTCGCTGTGGTCACGACGCTTGCCGAGGTGAGAGCTGCTGGCTGGGGATATCGTGGAGGGACTAGCTGCTGGGGGGGACACCATCGTCTTTTCCATTGCGAAGCCTCATGGTGTAGCAAGTGATTCTTCCCGCGCGCGGATGAGAAGTGAGATGTGCGCGCAGAGGGTAGACGTCTGATCTGAAGTGTTGATGTTTTTCGTCGACGTTGCGTTTTTTTGGGTTTTGCTGTCCACTTTGGATGAGAGAGAGAGAGAGAGAGAGATTGGACTGAGCAGTTGAGTGTGACGTGACCCCAACCACGTTACCACACACACGCAAATGGTTGATGGCCGGGGAGTTCAAGGTCCACGCGTGCCGAGAAGCGAGAAAGAGTTAAGAGACTCGACTGGACGCACAGAGAGAGAGAAAGAGAGAGCGAGAGAAAGAAATGTCCCCGTTTCTGCCGGTGCCAGTGCGCGCAGTGGACTTCCATTTCCCCAGTGAGTCACGTGTTACCCCGCTAACTCCCGTCCTGGGGGAAGATTCAGGCGCTGTCATTGGTACGTTTGGTGATGGGACGATGCGTACCAAGTACCGTCGGGACATGGGATGCTGTACCGCAAGGTATTGCCGCTCCAGCAGGATTCGTCCCTCGAAGATGCAATGCAACTGTGCAATTGAGCATAATCTCAGTACTCCTCATATTATCCCTGACGGCCGTTGATCTGTACATCTTTTCAAGTGACCTCCATCAGGCCATCACCGTGTCCAAGGTAGTCTAAGAAATCATCAACGCCTTCGCTATGCACTCCAGACATGCTGTATTATCCATTCCCCACCAAAGAAGAAGAAAAAAAAAATCACTTTTGTCGCATGTTCTTGGGCTTGCGCTTCTTAAACACCACCGCCGGCACCGCGGCCTCCGTGGCCTCGGCAGCCTCGTCCTCCTTCTTGACCCCGTCCTCTCCCAACGCCGGCACATCAAGACCCTTCCCAACCTCGTCCTCCACCGGCTCTCTCTTAACAGCCGGCGCATCAGACGTCACCCCCGTCGCATCCTCTCCTTCACCCTCCCGCTTCACCTCATCCCCGCCATGGCCCTCCTCCTCCTTCTTAACACCCACCTCAGCATTCTCATCCTCCTCCTCCTTCTTCACAGACCTCATCAGCGTATTCCCACTCAGCAACGCATCAAGATCCTCATCATCAGCCGGCATTGCCCTAGTACTCCCCCACTTCCTAGGCTTCTTAAACAACCCCCTCACAGCCTCCTCCTCCTCCCTCTCCTCCTCTGTCTGCTCCCTCTTCCGCACTCCAACAGCCTTGGCCTCAACAGGCTTCTCCCTCTCCGCCTCCTCGTCAACAACCTTTGTCGCAGTAACAGTCCACTCCCCCGCCATCGCCATATCGCCCCGAAACTCCGTCGGTATCGACACCCCCATCTCAGCGAGCTGTTCCATCTGCTGTTTGCGCTGCGACTCTGCTGACGGGGGCCCTCCGCCGCCGCTGCTGCTCGAACCGAGTTTCGAGAATGATGATGATGATGAATGCGATGACCCCGTGCCCGATGATATACCCTTCAACCTCTCCACCTCGCGCTTCGCTCGGTCCTTTTCGCGCTCTTCTTGTTCATGGCCGCGGTGGAGGTCGCGCAGGAACCGCTTGAGTGCGCCTTGGTGCTTGCCTGTCGCTTCGTGGTTCTGGCGTTCGAGCTTCGTGTCGCGGACAAAGATGCTGCAGTGTTTGCACCAGTATTTTGGCGTCGATTTCCAGTATTCTGACATCGTTTCGTGCGTGCGTGCGTGTCGGGGGTGTGTGTATGTGTGTAGAGGTACTGTCGAAAGAAGTGGCTGGGTTTTCGTGTGTTGTCAGAGAGAAAGAAGGTTGGCGGAGACGTCACTGGAGGATGCGCGCGCATGCCAAAATTTGGAGGTTCGCCCCAATTGCCGTGCTCTGGGGGCCGTGCAGCTCTTATCTTATCTCCAGCTACATCCCAGCAGATGAAATGTCACTCCCTCTGCGTAACGACCTCGGAGGCGAGGCCATGGTCGCCAACATCCAAAAGAATTGTTCACTCAAGATCAATCAAGCAGACTCACCTGACTTCACGAAAGACATTGTCACCAGTCACAAAGTAATTGTAAACACTGATGCAGCCGAAGATGTGCTGGTATTGCTCTAGTGGCCGGATTACCCAGGCTCTTGTCCTAATCCCTTCCAACCATCTAGCTACCTGTTTGCTGGCTTGCAAACCCATCCTCTGCTTTTGAACAAAGTCCGTTTCCTAGTCATCATCATTCAATTAAAGTGCCGATTTCTTGGCAGGGTATTGAGAAGCAAAAATGCCAATTAAGCCTTTGTGAACTGATCAAGTCCACCCACACATTTCTCCAAATCAGGCGACTTAGATGAGACAAACGACTGCCATCAGAGTGGCAACAAGAGCAACGAACGAGGCGGGAGCCAGGTTCTGACCAGCAGCAACGGGAGGAGCCGCCGGGGTGGTCGTAGTCGCAGGCGGAGTCGCGGTGGTCGCAGGAGTGGTCACAACCGCCGTGCTGTTGACGGGGGTCGACGGGACCGACGGGACCGGAACGGGCACCTGCGAGGTGGGAACCGGCGGGACGACAGGCGCTGTGGTCGCAGGAGGAGCGACAGGGGTTCCGGGGGGAGTGTAAGGGGGCTGGCTGGCCGGGGCGGAGGGCGTCACAGTGACAGGGGGAAGCTCGCCGCAGGGAGTGGTGTGACCCTGGACTTGACCATCACCGATCTGGCAGAGAGGCACGGGGATCGTGGTCGGGACAACCTGGGGCTGGCCATCACCGATAACCGTGACGACGGTGGTCACAACCATGGTGGTGCCAACAACCGAGCCAGAGGGGACGGGGGCATCGGCGCCGCAAGCGAGGGCCGAGAGATGAATGGGCGAACACTGCTCAGCCCAGTGACGGTCGTACAAGTTGTAGAAATCCCCGGAAAGGCAGCGGTAGAAGGTCGTGGAGCCTCCAAGCGCAAGGGAGCCGTTAGAGCAGACGGAGAAACCGGAGGTGTAGATCGCGCCGGCTTGTGCGGGAGGACCGTCGAACTGGAATTGGTAGTTGGCGACGATGGAGCCAATGCGACCCTTGGAGTCGGTCAGGATACCGTCCTTGAGGAGGAGGTCCAGAGAACCTGCGCCCGTACAGGAGCTACGCTTCTGTTGAATTTGTTAGTATGAAACCTCAATTTTTCAATACATTGATGAGACTCACATCGAGGCTTCGCTTGCCGAGCTCAACAACGGTGAGACCGAAGTTTCCGGTGTAGCTCGCAGAGCAGCCAGCGGGAGCGCTCTCAGACGGCTTCAGAGCGGCCTGCGGCATGGCCACGGCCAAGGTAGCCATGGCGGCGGGGAGAATGGCGGAGAAGCGCATCTTGTTGACTAGAAGATTTTTTGAATTAGCAAACGTTTTCTCGTTCTTCTCCCTCGGGTCAAGGATCGTGAGTTTCCATATATTGCGCCGATCCGACAGAGAGGCAGGCAAGATCGTAGAGGACCAGCGAGATCGCGAAGCACAAACCACTTCCCGAGTGACAAGACAGCTCATGAAGGACAGGAAATTCGACGATGTCCGACTGGGCTCGGGAAACAAACGGTGAAGATACCCGGGCCAATACGCGCGGGTAAAATCATGGTCTGATGCCACAAGCCCGTGACGTCGCCCGCCGGTGATGGGAATAGGGACGACGAGGGATGTGGCAGGCTCCGAGACCGCCACATCAAAGCCAATGAATCCTCAAACTGCGCTCGAAGAGGGGATTTGGGGTCCATCTCGCTGACAACAGAAGGATCGTAGTAGAGATCAGATTACCTGAGTCGAGGTTCTTGTGGTTTGGTGGAAGCGGTGAAGGTTGTTGTGGTAGGTAACTCGCTGGCAGAGTAATGTAGCTCAGATGAGGTGTTGGTGTGGTGGTGAGAAGAGTTTCCAACAACCAAAGTTGATTTACTTTTGCCCAAAGGTGAGGTGGTGAAGGGTAGTCCAGCAAAAGCTCCTGACCCGCTTTGTCCAACAATGCCCTCGTTCAAGAATCACACAAAAAGGCGGGTACTGCCTGTGTTAGTGCGTCGTGGAAGCACTGGAAGCGTGAGATCGTAAGAGGACCGAGGAAGAAAGAGAGCTTTATTTTCGAGTGGTACCTCTCGGCCAATGTTGTGTGAGGTGATCGTCGTCGGTTGTTGCCACGCGGGATGCGTATGAGTGAGTGTCGAAGGGTCGGTAGAAGAAATCAGATGTTGGAATAGGTTCAGTGAAATAAACGTGGCAGGCTTCCTTGATGGAGGGCAACCCTATTGAGCGAGAGTATGGGCAGGGATGGAGAAGTTGAGCTGAAGAGGGAGAGACCGAGGAGAAGGGAGGGCTGGGGTCCGGTGGTTCATATACAAGAGAGGGTGGGTAGACTTGTGAGTAAGGCCTGGCGGGTAGGGTAGGAAGATAAGCTTCAGCCGTGGGTATTGCGCGTCTTTGACGTCCAGAATGTGGATTTGATGGAGCAAATACCTTGAGCTAAGGAACTTGCAGTAGTGTGTGTATACGTTGGTGTAAGTAGCCATGTGTGTTTGTGAAGGTTGGTATTAGTTGTGATCTGATATGCAGAGACATGCGGCTACTTGCAAACAGCACTTGGAACAAAGCAAATTTGCATGTACATTCCAGGCTGGATTACTCTGTACATCAGACCAACAACAACATCACAGCCACCTCACCCACACAATTCACTACATAGCAGCAGTTGAATATTGATCTGCCAGTGTGGATGGGTGGGTGGATGACTGATGGTTGTTGATGTGAACATAGTGAGTGGCCCAGGGGTGGTTGGGGAGGTCGCCTCCGGTAGCAGGGCTGGGCTGGAGACACGCCTCAACCAGGACCAGGGTCAGTGCCACAAGCTCAATTGCACTGTCCCGATGCAAAGCCCGTGGATGATTTTGCTGGGCCTGGTGATGTCAGAGATAGAACACAACTTTTCCTCGTCGAGTCATAGTGAGGGTGCTGTGGTTTCCCCCAAGCAGAGCGATTCGGGCGAACCGGGCACTCAAAACAGAGGGGGTTGCTTGTTTTGCTATTTTTGCAACCACTCTATCCTGTACTCGGAGCAACCAAATATGTGATTCGACGAGGCAATGACGAGGGGCCTGGCCTGTAAGACGTCGTAAAGAGCAGAATATTTGATGATTGAGAAACCGAGCGTAGAGTGCTGGATTGAATGCGACCACCGGCCTGTCTTGTGCTGAGACAGAAGGCTTGCGCAGCCAGCCGCTTGGAGGAGATTTCCCTAGAAGCTGGAGGACCTGTCTCGAATGCAGTGTGGCTTCTGCCGATCAGGTACCACGGCCGATATGGCCAATGATTGCTGGTGAGGAGCGAAATGTGTGGAATGTTGGACTTGTCGGGCTTGTTTAGTGAGATGTTTGGGCTCAGGAGCAGACGGCAATTCTGCGTGGTTATGCATCTGAGAATGGATGGTATCGGTCGATTTTCAGCGGTGCTGGGCACACGGCGGCGGGGACGGGGAGCAGCAAGGCTCTGCGGGAGCCCGGCACTGCACTGTGTTCCTGGCCTTGGCCTGTTCTTTAGGCTGTCTTGACTTGCCGTGCCGTGGTGCTGGATGTGGACCTCAACCTGCGGTGAGGGGTCGTCGGAAGAGGGGGTGAGCCGGGGTGTGCCCCGATCGATTACCGAGAGGGGGTTGGTGAGGCGGAGGTGATGTTGACGTGGAAGTCGGGATTGGTGGAAGACGTGGAGGTAGTGCGGCATCCAAAGATCCAGTGAGCTCGCGAGACATGGTGATTTCTCCCGTTGAGCACTTGGGCATGGAGAATCAGACATGATTGGCAGTTCAGAGGATGGAATGCGTCCCTGGCCTGGGAAAAGAAAAGGGGGCCATGCGTTCCTCAGGCGCAGATTGGATGCGGACAGTTCGACAGATGCAAAGATGTCTTGATCCCTTGCCTTGGACTGGAGCCTCCATGTCGTTAGTCGACGGACAAGAGTCCAGAACAGTGTCACTCTGGTACTCTTTTTCTCCGTTTCTTTTTGGCGCTTGTTTGGTGCAGAACACCAAGAAAGAGTTGGTGTCGTCAAGAGGGAAAAGATCTTCCAGGATGTTCGTTGTCTGGGTAAACGTGCGGTGCTGCCAGCCCAGCCCAGTCCCAACCTGCCAAAGCGTATCTTGGAGCCGTGTATCCCATCCGTACGTGTGTGCGTGTGTACTTCGGACGGATGAAGAAGACCAAGTCGTCGTGGTCATCCCCATGCTTTCAAGTCGCGATTGGTGCGCCATAGTACTCTGTCTCTCATCCATACCAGCCACAGCCCTGATCCAAATCCCTTCATCTCGACAGCGTGCGATCTCGTCCGAGGTTCTTCTCCGGCGGCATAAATTGGCCGAAAACAGGAATCCTGAGTTCGACTCTGGGGAATCCAATGTCATTTTGGTCAATCCCCCGTTGTTGCGTTTCAGCCGACCCGGTCGCCATGATATCATCGTACGAACATCGGGGAATATCATCATCTGTTAAGACCTGCAGCCGTCCTATCACGGCGTCGTCACCAGGTCGGAGTGAGTGGACCGGAGGCCTTGGATGTCGGCTCGAGGGGGTTTGAGGTTTTTCCTGGCCTCTCCGTCCATCCTCCGCTGGTTGAAAACGACCGAAAAAGGAAGCCCCTCAGCGACCATCCCACCCATCTTTCGAGAATCTTTTCCCTTGTGGCGTCTTCAAGGCCCACGGCACCCGCAGCCAAGCGCCGCTCTACAGGGGACGGCGGGCCCTGTCGCATGCGCTGTACCCGTCAAGCAGCTCGCTAAGCACGCCAAGGCTAGGCGCCCTGCATTAGCACCGCCCGCCAGTGTCAGAGCCTGCGTCGATCCGCCCACCCCGAAGTCAGTGACACCTGTTGACTGGTTTAAGGCCGTGCAGCCCATTCTAGGCCATCAAGTGGGTGAGAATAGCATGAGAGGGGCCAGTCAGCTGTTGGTGTGCCCTGAAGGGTGGTGGAGAGAGAGAGAGACATAGAGAGAGGGGAGAGATGCTCAAAGCCGGCGCGAGTTCTTTTGTTCGGTCCGGGATTCTCAGGCCAGCAACATTCCTCCCTACCCCTCCCTCCAACGGTGCCATTCGATGCTCCAAGGCCGGAAACCGCCTCCGGAATGACGGATTTCAGCGCTATTCGTCTTTAGTCTAGCATGTGCTCTAGCTTCTGGTAGCTATCGGAGCTCGCGGCTGGGGCGACGGGGACGGGAGCTGCCCGCTAGAGACAAGGCCACACAGTCTTAGGGTTGGGCATGCAGGGGACAGGGGAAAAGCTTGCGAAGCCTCTAGACCTACTCGGATTCGTGTCGCGGGTTCGATTGTTGTTTGGCCTGGCTCGAGAGACACCGGGACGAAGAAATCTGAAGCAAGGGAGAGTGTTGGAATTGGGAAGAGATTTGATGGTAGAATGAGGATGTACAAAACCATTGCCACTGTTCAATTGTAATGATTCAGTTCAATGTCCTTTTCCACGAACACAATGTCAAGAGGGATGCCGACTCAGCTGAAGCATGCTAGCACCCGTATCCCTCCCCCATCGATATTGGTACGGCAATATTACAAATCCGGCTGGGGCAGTAGGTATGGCAGCTGTCGCCGCCGCCCGTCGGTGGCTCACGGTACCAAATCGTGGCTTGCGCTGCCTTGGCTGGCCGCCTTGTGTATCGCAGAGGCAACATGTAGATTGTGCCGGGGAGATGATAGCATCACTTGCTGCCGAAGTGCCGGGATGGATAGAGTAAGTTACGTGCGACGGCCGTCTTGTTTTCGCTTGCTTGCTGCTAGCCGTGCTAGGCTAGATGCGCGTCTCCACGTGTAGCACTGACTTGGCTGCGAACGTTGATGTCGGCATCCGATCCGGACTTTGAGTTTCTTTGTGCTGTCGGGTGGCTTCAAGCCTACCTTAGCAAGTCGACGGACAGCGACAGACGTCGAAAGCCGTCTCTCGACCGGGCGTGCCAGTTTGGTGAGGTTTAGTTGTTGCTGGGCTGCCCCTCGTTCGCAGATGGTGCGTTTTTTTTTCTACTGCCATCCACTCCGTTGCCAGGGGCCCTAGTGTAAAGTGTTGAGCTGACTGCCAGGTGACGTTTGCTGAGCTGATGAAAATCGGATTGTTGGTGGAATCAAGTTTGTCTGCAGTCGAGACTCGAGAGTGAATTGGGACGAATCCAATGTGCAAGCCCGCGGCTGAATTTTACTTCCCAATTCGGTTGCCTACTCCTTCCAGCCCGGGGCATCGTCAATGAGGAGGAAGGCATGCCCGAGTGTCCAGCACTGCACCTGCCGCCCTCTGCGGAGGATAAGAATTTCCCGGTGAAATACCGGGGGCGGATAGCTGATAGGCCCACAGCGGCACTGCGGCTCCCAATCGGCGGCCTTGGCCCACCAGAGTGTATGGCTTGGCACAGCAACCTCCGACTTCACCTCAACTTCGCCAACCTCGAGTCCTCAGCTTTGCGAAGCATCTGACCAAGTGTACGGAACAAAGTCTACAAGTTCAATCTATTGGTATATATACATATAAGGGGAATGTTACTTGTAGAGTGAAACATAATGATAAGCTCGTTGCCTCGTAAATAACCCACGAATAAATAACCAATTTTGGACGCTGGCTGCGGTTCCTTAAAGTGGATATTGTTGCGACGACAGCTAGCGATTTTCACACAAGACCCTTCTACAGTTTTGCAGAAGTATACGGGTTTATGTCTCTCGGAATATTCCCAAAGTCGTATTTCTCCTGCCGGGTTGTAAATTCCTAGAAGGGTATCCCCACCTGGGTAAGTAGGTCAGCGTGGTTAGAAACCTGGTAGTGGCCACGCTAGAGCATTTCCTGAGTCTTCTATCTTCAACAAATGACCATCTATCATACCATACTAGAGATTCGTCAACTTCACACGCAATATTAGGACGGCTGATGTCGCAAATCGATGCACAAGAGGGGGATGAGCAAGGAGTGGCATATGGACAACTTGAGAAGCATCCCGACAAGTGGGCTAGATTAATCAGACCGTACGGACAATGTTTTAACAAATATTCCCTCACTTCAGTGCTGCCCGTAAGTATGAGGCGGCAATGCAGGCCGTTCTCATGGGGGAGCTGCTTGATTGTGATTGAGGGCGGGCAGATACATCTTAGGGTGCTTGGGATGGCGAGAAGACCAGCCGATAGAGCTATAGGCAACAGGACGTGAAGACAAATCAACAACGAATACCGGGTCATATGGCTGAGAGGTTTGAAGCCACGAAGTGCTGACTGGGACAGTGATGCTCCTGTTTCTTTCAGGACTCTGGCCTTCAAACATTGGTCGGTCCATCTTTTTTGACTTTTTCTAGATCTGGGCTTCCTGCCGTCAAAATAAGATGACGAGCACTGAAGTTTTGCTTGCCTTGTCTCGATTTTGTTCATATCTGCCCCGGTTCTGTGAAGGTAAAGTGTGGATTGCCTCATCACATGCTTTGGATGACCAATCTCATGTTATCCAACTTGTTATATAAGGTGAACAGAGGGAAATTACAGGCTGAACACTTGCCTATTTTAACATTAAGATGCCGAGACTCTGGGTGCTCCTTTCCACTCTAAGGTGCCCTGACTTACAGACATTAAGGCATGTATGAGGTCTTCTTAGATGGATGTCGGGCCCACAGGAATAAGCGTCGAGACGGGGACGGCCTTGTGCGGAAGCTATGATGACCTATCCTAGATCCCCTCGGCTCCTTCCTCCGACTGATCAACTCACCTCAGGTAGGCAATGGCAAATTCACTTCACCTTTTGACGTCCTCACCCCTCCGTCTACCTTGCCCTAATATCCCCGGCAACTCACTCATCACCTAAATCCATCAACTCTACTCGATGCTTTCCCTTGTTTTACCTCCTCACTCATCTCATCCACAAATTCACTTGAAGTCCCTGACGTTGATAATACACCAAACCCAGCAAAGAAAACAACCAGTCGCGCAATCATGGGCAACGAAAAAGGTCCCAAGAAAATCCTCATGCAGAGGGGCTTCACCTTCTCTCCTGCCCCGCTGTTTCCCGGCAGAGAGATCGTACACCTCGTCAGGGCGTCTAATTCTCGCTCTGCCCTCGTCTCGGCTTCGCCATTATACTTCACAAGTACGCCGACGGCCTTGAGCTCATCATCTTCGACCCCATCTCCCGATATGCCCACGTCAAAAACAACCCACAGGTGAAGGCCAACCTCTCTGGCCTCTATGGCTTCCGCCAGTCTATTCGCGACAATACCGAGGCGGCAGTCCAGAGCGCCGGAGGACGCTTGATCCGTGGATGGTACGGCGGCAAGTTGGAGATGCCTGCCGACGGCGCTGACAGTGTTCAGCTAGCGAGTGAGTGGATTCGTCTACTCGTTCTTGCCGGCGGTCACGGTCAAGATCCTTTAGCCGTTGATGGTGAGAAACGGAACCAGTGGGGCTTCGAGGAGGTGCAGATTTGAGGTACGAAATTGATTTGATCCCTTGTTTTATCCCTTATCCCTTTTATCCAATAGCTTGAAGCTGACAGTTTTGTGATCCGACAGTTCTTTCTGGCCCCAATCCGACCTTTTCGGCCTCGTGGCCCTGAACACTACCGGAAGCCACGTCTCATGCGAGCTGAACATTTGGAGCCGGGAGAGATGGCTTCGCCTTGTAACTCCTGGTCCCAAGGGGGATGAGCGCAGCGAGATAGCGCACGACGGGCTAGGAGTGCCTACCAGATGATAACGAAGATAATGGACTGTGGATAACGGGCGATAGATAGATAGTTTGGGACGTGCAATGGGCTGTGGAACGTCACCCTCTTAGTTTTTCCAAATACCACCAGAAAAATCCTCGAATAGGGTTGTCATTAGTGCTACACGTAACAACGAGGCGTTAGTGACTCTATTTAGTGATAAAGTTTCGAGAAATCACGGTTGATTTCTATCTCATACTCAACATCAACGTAGAACGGTATTCTTGGAAGCAAGGGTATGCGATGTTATACCGTCTTCCTCTGCTGGCTTTGGAATGAGGAGAGGACCTCAAATCGGGACAGATCACTTGTGCAAGTCAAGGTAAGGCATCTATCTATGTAAACATGCTAGAACATACGATGGTGTTGAGTAACGAAAAACTGTCTTCACAAAACCATATGGATATCTGGAATGACCACAGAGACGAACCGTCACGTGGGGAATATCGGTTACATAGTGCATTGTAGCAACAAACTTTTCTCCTTGGTCCTTCGTTGTGCTGCATTGTTCTGTTGGTCGAACAAGGACAGTCTCCTTCAAAAGTGGGAAGGTGTGAGTAGGGAAGTATGGTAAGAGATGAATCAACTCCAGCAAAAGAAGGCCGAAATACGGTCGAAGCCCCGCCGTCTCAAGATCGTTAGTTCAAGATTGAGACTTTTGCCGGCAGGCGACGATTCAGCTTCAACGATGGCAGCGGAAGGGAACGATGCCCCAAGGAACGTCTGGAGCAATCCTTCCGATTCCTGTGTGGGGGAACATGAATGTCACGGAATTCTGGGCAGAACAGGCAGGCAAAGGGCCAATATTGTAGCCGTCTTGAAGCATATTCACTTCCCTAGTTAAGAAGCCGCCATGACTTACCTTAGACATGAGAGGCAAGCAAGTGCCTTGGGAAAAAAAGGAGAAGGTCAAATTAGCAAAGAAAACCAAAAGAGGGAATGGAACAGCCGAGTTTTGAAGCCAGAATCCTGGAAGGAACAGGAGCATCACTGTTTCAGCCAGCACTTCGTGACCCCTCAGCCCTGTGGCCCGGTTTGTTGTTAAGGATTAAGCATGATTCACTCCTCATAAGGGGTGCGGGCGGTGGATGGCGTAGCTCTACCTGAGGCATCGCAAGTGGGAATGCACCGGGAGTGCGCCATGAGGCATCATAGGAACCCGGGTGAGAGAATCACTCGTTCACCAGGTGACACGTCAAGCCATTGGATCCAACAGGGTACCCGACAGTGTGCTGGCACGTTCTCCAGACTCATCACACGTACACAGGGGATTAAGTGGCAGATTGAAATGCTCTGAATTGCTGAATTCGACTTGTGCTTTTTGTGACCAAAGACGCATGCATCTATGAAGAGTGATGGAGCTCTATCTGACCCCAATGCAAATCCTTTCTTCATTACGTCGTCCGTTATCCCCACCACATCCAACGTATCCCAAACCTGTCGAGTTACATAATGACCTCGTTTGAGACGTCCTAGATGATTGTCAGTAATATGAAAGACTGTCGGTAGTTGAGGCAGACTCACTCTCTTCAGCTCCTTGAAGGGCAGGCACACGCAGTTCTGTACGCGGACCTCATCGCCTACACCGCAGTCCTTGCCCAGGATGGTAATGCTTTGGACCTTGACGCCGTTCTTGATGATGCTGGTAGTGTGGCTGCCTACGGGAGTGGGGGTACCCTCAACACGGGCCCAAGCACCGACACGGCTGCCCCAGCCGATGATAGAGTACAGAACGCACGAGTCGTGCTTGATCTCAGAGTCCTCAAGGACGACGGACTCCTTGATGCGGGCACCAGGACCGACGTGAACGCGAGGTCCAATGGAGACGTTGGGGCCCAGCTTGGCGGTAGGGTCGACGGTGGCAGTAGGGTGGATGAAGACCGGAGGGATGATGTTGGCGCTGGGCTGGGCAAGTTCCTTGGAGCCGTTCTGCCATGCCTTCTGCAGATACAGGGCGTTGGCAGGGACAGCTGAACCAGCCGTCTTGATCTGGCGCCAGAAGTCCTTGGTCTCATACACGAAGAAGTGCTTGGTGTCGGCGAGGTCACCGAGGATATCCTGCTCGAGGCGAATGACCTCGTTCTTGCGCTCCTCATCGTCGTCGGTGATGATGAAGCTGTTCTCGAGGTTCTCGGAGCTCGGGTAAGAGACGAGGCGCGAGGGACGATCGGTACGGCGCTTGATGGCGGTCTTGATGGAGGGGAAGATGGCATCGGTAGAGAAGAGGTAGACACCGCAGTTAATCAGGTTGCTAATTTGCGACTCGGGCTTCTCGACGTAGTGAAGAACACGGCGGGTGTGGGCGTCGCTGACGATGCAACCGAAGTTGGTGGCGGCTTCATTAGAGACGCGCGTTCCCAGAATGACGGCCTCGGCGTTCTTGTCGTGGAAGAGCTGGAGCATCTCGGGGAGAGGGAAGGAGCAGCAGACGTCGGCGTTCAGGACGAAGAGGCGCTCAGGGTGGCCCTTGAGAATCGCATCGCGGAAGTGGTAGAGACCACCTGCAGTGCCGAGGGCCTCATACTCGCGGAGGTACTTGATAGAGAGGTTGGGGAACTCGTGGGAGGCGTCTTTGATGAAGTCGCGGAAGACGGACTCGTCGTAGTAACCGATAATGAGGACCTCGGTGATCTCCTTGCCGGGGACTCGCTCGATGGCAGCCAGGTTGTGCCAGATGATGGGGTGTCCAGCGACTTCGAAGAGGGGCTTGGGGACGTCGAGAGAAAGAGGACGGAATCGAGTTCCTCTGGAGGGGCCTCCGACCTGAAGATTCGAAGGGTTCTGGTTAGCTTGCGACCGTTTACAGAGGACAATGAGCTTTGACGAGCTCTGTGAGGGAGGGGGGAATCAAGGCGGGGTTTTGAGATTTTGGAGATGCACGCGCCGCACAATAAAGTGACGCGCAAAACACCATAAAGTAGATGGTCTTACCAGAATGACAGCCTTGGTGGCACCCTCTCTGGGTGCCTTTCCACGGTAGGGGACTTGCAGCGACATTGTTCGAGTGGGATGGGTCTCTCTGGTTGTGGTGGTGAGAAAGGGAAGGGAAGGAAGGCTTAGTTAGATAGAGGTTGAGATACCCGGTATGGAGTCGAGTAGCTGAGGTGGGAATTGAAGACGCTATTTGCAACGTCACCGCTTCGTGAGTTTTAGAAGGGGGTCCCCCTGAGAAAGTGTTCACCCAACCTTGTGAGGTCCCAAGAATAAATTCAGAGCAAGCAATGCATGTGTTGGCAGGGGTCTAACGAGGCAGGAGGGTCACCAGGTGGCTCGTGTCGTTTCTAGATGTGGCTGCGGGGGCTTTTTGGTGTTATTGTGAGACTTTATGAGGCACCTATTTTACCTGTGTAGAGGTGTACCTGTTTACTGCCGAGGACCCTTTGCGGGGTGGAATGGATTCCCTTGCGTGGCAGGAAGGAGCCTCCCGCCAGGTGGTCTCCAGGCTATCGATAAGCAATAGTTCGTACCTTCCAGGCTCCATCCACTAGGTATTACTGCGCAGATACGGATACCTTTACCTAGTAGCCCAGGACCACATGCGACAAGCTCAACGTCTCATTCGTGTCCCTTCGAGAGGCCAAACGTTTCTTTTTCGGAGCAATTCTTTTTGTCTACCATTCAAGCCAGATATATGAAAGCGCTCCCAGTGGAGATCTTTTAGAAGATAAGGCAGGCTATCTTATTGGAGTTTGAATGGACGGAGGGGGCTGAAAGGCTACTGTAGATGATTCACCTGCAACTCTCAGATAACATGGCATGGTAAGACAGCATCGGCGGCCGATTGGGGTGCAATCTGGAATCATGTAAGAGGTCGCAGGTACCTTGCAGGAAGCTTCTCCAATTGACATCGATGAAATCAATTTACGCGTCGGTACCTGAACGTGTCGAGGACGTGTAAAGCAGGCAGCATACGCGACAATGTGGTGTCTGAAAGGTGAGCAGTGACTTGGTTGACCAGGTGAAGATGCACTCATCTTAGGCGAAATCTAGCAGGCAGCTGTGCATCTGTGACAGCTTGAGAAAGTACCAAGTCGCGTCTCTCTACCTTCGCAGGGGATCGCCGGAGCCAAGCTCCACTGCCAGCCATTCTCTTCGAATGTTGCGCCCCTGAGGTCCCTGACATCCCTGCCAGCTGGGAGACTGACGATGCACCTCGTTCGCTCCAATTCCCAATAATCCACGATAGTAGCTACCTCACCTCAAAAGCGACATGGTGAGATATAACCAGCATCTCGTTGATGGAAATATCGGAAAATGTGTCAAAGTTGTTTCCAAATAATTCGAATAATATACAGATACTTTACATGATTATTATTGCCTTTTGTTGCTCCCAAACTCAACAGTGGGCTGCACCTTCTCATGTCCCTCCTAACACTAATAACCACTTTAATGAGAGCTCCAGGAGAGCGGGACTTGTGGTTGCTCAGGTCACCCAAACGAAGAAAGAGCTCTTAAAGCTTTGAAGCTCCCCATAGCCCCTTCCCTTCACCTGCCTGATATTCAGCTTCAGCTTCAATACCTCACTTTACCTTTTGCTTTACCTCTCACCTCTTCATATTGCTTCTCAATCACTTCTTTCACTCTCGTCCATCTTTCTTGTTGCCTAGAGGTGTGTTGGGTCGTTAATTGACCCTTTGCTGTCTTTGAGGTACCTCCACATCCTCACCTTCCCTATATTCACTTCCACCCTCATCAACCCTCGACCTCGCCTTCAAAAACTTTCCTCCTGCCATTCCTCTCATTCTTTTTCCTCATACCTCACTCAAAATGACGAAGGCAAGAGCGTCGAGAGGCCATACCGTCAAGCCAGAGCCCGGCAATCATCAAAACAATACTTCTCCTACACCTTCTCTCACCAACACCTACAACGGCTCCCCAGAGCACAACAGAAATCAGGCCCGGTCATACCATGCTGGACCTGCGGATGTCAATCAATCATTCTTGAGATCGGACGCCCGTAAGTATTTGCTTCCTTTCTACCCATCTACCTTCCCAATTTTGGTTTCTAACCATCGTGTAGCCACGCCTTCTATCACGGGATTGTTGCCCACTCCTCACGGCGCTTACACTGCCCCTCAAACTGCCCGGACTGCGCTCACGAATCCAACGTTCGACGAGAGCGAACCTGTTCTCCTTCAGGTTAGAAACCGAGATATGGAACCGCCCGTGATCCCCATGCAGAACGATTCGTTTCTCGATGGCTCCTTCCGGGACATAGGCGCCAAAGTAAAGATTTTCAACGATACGCTCGGTGAATTACAGCAACTTGGCGTCTCCCACGATGTCGCTCTCCCCCAGCTCGTTCTCGTTGGAGACCAGTCTGCCGGAAAATCGAGCTTGATGTCTGGCCTTGCCGGTCTCAACCTCCCTCGCAGCGAGGGCGTCTGTACTCGTTGCCCTGTCCACATTCGTGTCTCTCGAAGTGGTCCTCGCGACCGTGGCGGTCCCCAGTGGTCCTGCCGTGTCTCTCTTCAGCAGGATTACGCCTTTCGACCTCCGAACCATTACCTCACAAAGGCCGACGTCACTCCGGAGAACCCGTTCCCGCCTTGGGTGAAGCAAGCGCGAGTGGTCAAAGAGTTCATGACTATTTACGACCAGTCGGACATCGACACTGTCCTGAAGTGGGCCCAAATCGCCATTCTCAACCATGACCAGAACCACGAGTTGTACGTTCCTGGTACAGGCGCCATCACCAAGCAGTGCTTGTTGGACGACGAGGCAGAGAGAACGCTCGCCAAGTTCAGCCCCAACACTGTTGCTCTGGAGATCAAGGGTCCGGACCTGCCTGATCTGTCTTTCTACGACATGCCTGGCATCTTCCGCAATGCGGCACGCGAGGAAGATGAGTACCTTGTTTCAGTGGTCGAGAACCTGGCGCGTGAGTACATTTCCCATTCTGAAGCCCTTATCATCTGGGCTGTGCCAATGAATGTCGACCCTGAGACGTCCTCGACGCTTTCTATCATCCGTGTCCTTCATGCTCAGCAACGGACAATCGGGGTGATGACCAAGGCCGATCTTCTTCCTGAAGGCAATAACAGTCAATGGCTATCGATGCTGCGCGGTGAGGCACACAAGATTGGTCACGAGTTCTTCATAACCTCGAGACCGTCGAATCAGAAGCTCGACGAGCAACAGAGATGGGAGGAGGGATTCTTTCACCAAGATGCAAGTGAACGCTGGCCGGAGGAGTTCCATCCATTCCGCGAGCGATGTGGCGTGGAGAAACTCAAGATTGCTCTCTCCGAGAAGTTGGGCAAGGAATTCGCCAAGAAGTAAGTGTTCTACCCCGGTTGTCTTTCCCTCAGATTTCGACGGGATACTAACGTTTTCAGTCTCCCTTCTATAAAGCATAAGGTTCAGACGAGGCTCAGTGAGATCGAAGCTGAGCTTAGCACCCTTCCCGAGTTGCCCAACAATGTCGAGTTGGAGGTCCGCAAGAGCTTGATGGCATTCTCCTCTACTGTCAAGGAAACTCTTCGCGGCAGGAAGTTTTCCTCTAACTACGGATCACTTTCGGATAGCTTCCGGGACTGCATTCTCCAGATGAAGCCCAAGTTCATTTTGAAGGATAAGTCAGACATTCCTGTTCTTGAAATCTCCGATGACGAGGATGACAACACACCAAATGTCACCCCTTCGAATAGAAAGCGTGGCGGTTACGGCCAACATCAGTCAGCTGCCAAACGACCTCGACCAACACCCAACGGCGGTGGCTCCTTCTCGGCTGCCATCAAGACAGAGGAAAGCGGCTCGGCGCCATCGACGCCCTCTCGCCGAAGACCAGTCCAGCCAATGCCTCTGGCCCCGCCTTTCCAACGATACGCTAATTATGGCGCTGGATTTCGGACACTGGCGCAGATCCGTGAAGACATCAAGGCCAAGACCAAGGCAGGCATGCCTAGTATTGTGCCTGACGAAGTCTATGAAGATCTATGCAAGCAAGCCGTCAAGGCTTGGAACCAGCCCATGGAAACCTTCCTGCAAGAGACTATGAATTGTCTTCAACGAATCGTCGACTACGCCCTTGGCCAGGCTTTTGGCTCCCTAATGAAGCGATTGATCTTCAAGAAGTCTACCAACCTCATGAATGAATTCTTGAGGGAGCGTCGGAGCGAGGCCATGTCTTTTCTTAAGGACATCTTCGACATGGAGACGTTCCAGCTCTTCACAGTCAATCAGAAGGCCTTTGAAGACTATCAACGCTCTGAGAGCCGGGTGCTCACGCGTTACCGCCACGTTATGCGCTGGCAGGCATTCTCGGGAGATTCCTACGAGTTCCATGATTGGGACCAAATGACACCTGAGCAGCGCATGAACGAGGAGCGGAAGCATCACCAGGAGCTTGCGAAGATGGGCCCAGACACCTTTGATAAGGAGCTGAAGGTGGCTGCCTACGTCCGAGGCTACTATATGCTGTCCGCCCTCCGCTTCGCCGACACGGTCTGCCTGTCGGTCACGTCCCGCATGATGCCGAAGATTGTTCAGGATCTCGACTTCTTCCTCGAGAACAACCTCGGTCTCATCGGTGGTCGTGACGAGACTGTGTTTGCACGTCTGATGGAGGAGGATGAAGCGACCGCTCGCAAGAGAGAACAGTTGAAGAACGAGCTGGAAAAGTTCAAGAAGGCGCTTGACTCGATCACCACCAACGAGTTGGAGGGCGCTTTCGGGTCATCTTCGCAGGGAAGAGACGCGTTTGAGGCTTATGACGAGTCTTTCGCCGAGACCATGGATGTTGATGGAGGATGCTGAGCTACCAAGCATACAATGCCGCGGTAATGGTCACAATTGCTGGCCCACAGACTTGCTGAAAGTCTGAGCCGCAAGTCGACTATAACGGCAAGGACTTTGTTGGCCGTTTATGGAAAAGGGTGAAGCCCGGCTGTAAATGTTCGATTATCGCAGTCGGGTCCGACCTTGTGTATGAGAGAGATCGTGTTGCTGATTGCCACAGCTAGGAGTGGCCATTTCGCGTGAGAAATCGGAGTTTCGGATACCTAAGGAAGGTCACAGGATTGTTTATCGCCAGTCGGAAGGCACATTCGCAGAAGATACCAGTATTGCACGTAGTTAGCTAGCTCAGAGAATAGACACAGATATGTGTCATCAGCGTTGGACCGCCCATGATGGGCGAGGAGTCGAGACAATGGCTTGCCAATGGATGGTCCATTCCGTACGGATG